TCACGAATCGGTTTTAAACTTACAGGCGGCAAAGGGAAAACCTATCGCTACGTATTGCAAAAGGTACGTTTGCCTTAACGTGGGTTTGCACAAACCCATTCACTGGATTTTCATTGCTGCAGATGTTTCTATGCCAATCATTGGTGTGGACCTTCTACAACACCATGATCTAATCATCGATACGCGCAAACAGAGGCTAGTAGACGGAAACACTAATTTGTCCGTTTGTGTAACTTCTAGTTGCAGATTATCCCCAGTCACAATTAAGCATACGATAGACCCACTTTATCAACCGCTACTCGATAAGTATCCCGAGATACACCAAACGCAACCGAAATCGCCGTGTGTAACGAGCAAAGTTACACATCACATCACGACTACAGGACCACCTGTATTCTCTAAAGCACAACGACAACCTCCGAAAAACTAAGGCTGGCGGAAAACGAATTCGATCATATGATAGACTTAGGAATCATACGACCGTTAAATAACCCATATGCATCTCCGTTACACATGGCCCCTAAAAAGGACAGCAACGATTGGCGTCCAACTGGTGACTATCGGCGATTGAATGCAAAAACCATTCCCGATCGTTACCCGTTGCCTCACATTCACGATTTGACAGCTACCTTGAAAGGTACAACTGTCTTTTCGAAAATCGACTTGGTTAAAGCGTATAACCAAATCCCTATGGCTACAGACGATATACCGAAAACAGCTATCATTACTCCCTTTGGACTTTATGAATTTTTGCCAATGCCCTTCGGTCTAAGAAACGCTGCTCAAACATTCCAAAGGTTCATAGACGACGTTTTTTGAGGTCCCAACTTCGTACATGCGTATGTTGACGACTGCTTAATAGCAAGTCCGGACAGAGAATCACATCTCAAGCATCTGGATCTTGTTTTCGACCGACTAGAAAAACATGGCATTACTGTAAACATTCAGTGGTGCTAAGTCATTAGACTTTCTGGGACACACCATCGATGCTCAAGGAATTCGACCCCTTAGGACCAAAGTGGCGGCCATCCTGGATTACCCAGAACCTACCACCGTCAATCAGTTACTCACGTTTAACGGCCTTGTAAGTTTCTATAGACGTTCATGCAAAACTGCGTGTCACTTATAAAACCACTAACTGACTAACTTCATGGAAATGCGAAATCCATCAATTTGAAAGATACCACTCGAAAAGCATTCTCCACACTTAGGGAACTTATCGCTAAAAAAACTATACTTGCTCATCAGGACACCGAAGCACCCATTAGTATCGCAGTAAACGCATCCGACTCGGCAGTCGGAAGAGTCTTACAACAATCGGTTAACAACTCCTGGCAACCTTTGGCATTTTTCTCTAGACGGTTGCTAGACACCGAATCGAGGTACAGCACATTCGGTAGGGAACTCCTAGCTATGTATTGTGTTGTACGGCATTTTCAACATTATATCGAAGGCCGTGAATTCACCCTTTTCACTTACCATAAACCTCTTACCTTCTCCTTAAGCTCCTCTTCAGACAAGTACTCACCTCGTGAGTCTCGACAACTGGACTACATTTCGCAGTTTACTTCGGATATTCAACACATTTCTGAAGCAAACAATGTAGTCGCAGACGCCTTGTCTCGCATAACTTCCTTGAATAGCTTTCAAGGAATCGACCTTCTGAGACTCGCATAGCTTCAAAAAGAAAACACTGATCTTCAGCATGAGTTGTCGTCTACAACACTCAAGCTATGCATTAAACAGATGGGAACGGGTAACTAAACCTTACTATGTGACACATCTACAGGTAGGGATCGCCCAATCGTGCCGAAACATTATCGACGCAACGTCTTCAATACGTTGCACAAACTTTCTCATCCAGGTGTTCGTGAAACCATCAAGCTTATAGCAGAACGGTTTTGCTGACCTGGTATGAATAAAGACGTGGGGGAGTGGGCAAGCTCCTGTGTAAGCTGCCGAAAATCTAAAATTATCAGACACAATAAATGTCCCTTAGGCTCATTTAAAACTCCCGATGCTCGTTTCGACCATGTTCATTTGGATTTGGTAGGACTTTTACCAGATTCAAATGGATACTCTTATCTCTTAACCTGCGTTGACCGTTTCACTCGATGGCCAGAAGCAGTACCTATCAAGGACATCACTGCTGAAACAGTGGCCACACTTTTAGTAATCATTCGCTTCCGAACGACCGCCTACCATCCACAAGCAAACGGGTTGGTAGAACGTTTTCACCGACAACTGAAAGCTTCACTATCAGATGCAAACGTTTCACGGTGAACCAACGCCCTTACACTCATCTTACTTGGTATTCGCCATGCAGTGAAAGCTGACATTGGATACACTGCGGCTCAACTCGTTTATGGAATGACACTTCGACTTCCAGGAGAATTTGTGGATCCTTCGTCCTCTTCAATGAACATGGATCTAACCTCCTACACGAACAGGCTTACAAACGCAATGCGTTCAGTTAAACCTGCTCTCACTCGACCTCAGTCAACCAATGTTTTCGTTCAACCTGACTTACGATATAGTACACACGTTTTCGTGCGTCGAGACTCCCATCGACGACCATTCGAATCAGCATACGAACGACCTTTCGAAGTTCTTCAACGCGAACCTAAGTACTATATAATCGATAAGAACGGAACCAACGATAGCATCAGCATCGATTGCCTCAAAGCAGCGTATTTAGAAGGAAACCTTATCTACGTCGATTTTCCTTCGGTACAATCGAACAACACGACTCCAGCACTTATAATACTTCATCCGACAACCAACACGCACGATGTTACTTCGACGGTATCTGAAAATAAGCATAAAACAACGCGTTCTGGAAGAAGAGTAAGATTTCCAGAACATTTAAACGACTATTGCACATAAGACACCAGTCAAAATTTAGTTACATCTCGATTTTCCATGGCATTATATATAACATAAAAAATTTTACGTTATTTACACTTTCTCGCCCATCTTGTGTCTTAAAGCGCGTACGAGCTTATTTCGACATGCACTTACATATTCTTTTTTTTCTTTTCCAGAACGGCTGGAAAAGACGATAAAAAGAACGATGAGGTTTACGAGTAACCAAAATTTTGATTGTACATTATTTTCTTACTGTATTGTACTTCGTGGTCACTAATAGTAAGGAAAGACGACCAGGAGCTGCTTAACCTAGCAAGCTATCAGAAGAGTGTTTACTAACGACAAAACTCGTTGGATTCAAATTTCTGGCTGGCCACGTCTTAGGGTCATCATCACCCCACTACGGGGGAGTGATCTGTAGCGGTAAATAAATCCCCAAAATAAATAGTTCTGTAAATTTTCGACATTGGATGCTGACCACATTAGTTTTAATGGACTCACCTAGCTGAAGGCGCTTGGTCATGCATCCGCACCAGATCACGTGTGGGAACGCCGTTCTCAACATCTACTGCAATCGCTAGCCAGACTAGATCAGACAATTCCGATATATTGACAACCGTCAAACACAACTTCTGATCTCCTCGATTCTGTCTTTTGATTTCTCTTGGTGGGTACGAGTTATATTAGGTGTTACTGGTAAAAGCGTTGTCAAACACTGAATACCTGTGCCATCTTCACTTGAAAGGTACTACACACTATCATGCAACAGAGACCGAAGGATTTCGGATCCTCTAATCATTAAGTATGGCCCTCTGCCATGTGAATGCTAAGATACGTCTGATTATGTATCCAGTTTTCACTCTATGGAGAGAGATCGACCAAATCAAACATATTTCCCTCGTCATTTAGAAGAACTAGAGGTGACTATCACTTTTTAAGTTACTGCTAAATTTGCACCTGATATCCCATCATCTGAGTTTCCTCCGAAACAGAGGGCTTAGGAGAGCATTCGCAAACTTAGATCAAATCACTTGTCAGCTGACTATCGACTTTCCCAACGAATAATCGACTAGTTACCTCAACTTGTGTTTGAAGCTACATCTGTCGACGCATTCAAAAGTAAGTTAAATCAACTGAGAGAAAACCATCGTCAGGGCTAAAACTGTGCAAACAGTCCCCTGTCGTTTCCAAACTGAAACTGAAACACAAAACTGGAGTGGGCTACTATGATATACTGAAAGCTAGCTGTATAAGCAATCAAAAAAGAATATACCACTTCCAGTCCCACTGATTTCCCCATATTCAAATATCTTTTTTGTCTTCAGTCATGACTTAAAGTCTTACGCTAACTGTGACAAAAATGCCTTCCGAGCAAACCTTGCACTGGTAACGTTGAGGCGCATTTTTGGCCAGTTTGACGGAAGAACTTTCCACACAATCTTCAATAGTTTCATCCGTCCCCATTTAGAGTACGGAAACATAGTACTCCCCCCTCACTCCAAAAGGATAAGGTCACTTTGGAGCGTATCCAACGGCGAGCCACAAAATCAGTTCGAGGACTCAAATCCAAGCCTTACGAAGAACGCCTCCGTTCACTAGACCTTTACCCACTAGAATATAGGCGTCTTAGAGGTGATTTATTAATGGCTTATAGTATTCTTAACACTTCTGGACATCCTCTTAAACACCTACTTAAGCTTAGTTCGAACAATAACCTAAGGGGTAACACCCAGAAACTGGAAACACAACATAGCAAGACGGAATGTAGACACAACTTCTACTCCTTAAGAGTTGTCAAAAGCTGGAACTCGCTGCCGGCCGAGCTAGTCCAAGCGACTTCTCAGGAGTCCTTCAAGAGGCAACTTGACCCATTCTTAAGGACCAAGGACAGCATCGCACTATGATTTACCAATTTCTTTTCCTCTTTTATTGTCAACATACCTAGGTTCCTGCCTGGAGGATTTGGTGATCCCCTGCTACTAGACACGGAAGCCTGTTAAGCGAAAGCTTCTTCTATTCCGTCCACAACCATTTGAACCATTTGAACCATTTGAATCGTCATCGTTGAGGTTTACAATGACTCGCCGATCTTATAACGTTGCTTATGAAGCTAGTCCCACTTTTAAAAGTTCACTAGACGCGGGGGATTCGGCCTCGCCGTTATATGTTTCTGCCCAACCTTAGGTGCCGTGTAGTTTTCTTGACTTATCTTAGTATGTCTCGGACTAACAAGAGTGAGAGACAGTTTATATATTTTCTCATTCTTCACAGGTCATAGGCCACCGGGTTTGAAAGGAAAAGAGATAGGTCTTTGGCATGCTGCTCAATCGAAAAACCGATGCAAAGGTGATTTGGACTACCAGACTAAGGTATGTTCAGTCGAATGTGATTCACCTCTTTAAAAGTGGAATATTCCACCTGCCGTAACGCGGCCTTTGGACCCACTAAAAGATTTTATTCCATTACTGTTACCCCTACTGTCCTAAAGTTAGAAAGGCTATTTAGCAGGTTTTATATGGTATGTCTCACCGATAGCCTAGGTTTCATTTATCAGTGAGAAAGGAATGTTTCACAATTTGTGACACCTAGGGATAACTGCTTTACAAATACTCCGGATACGCTCCTCTAAGTTACATGTTCCATAACAAATATGGATTTGTTTTTTCTATTTATGGGGGACTGTGCAATGACATGCGACAAGTTGACTGTGAAAGAGTTTTTCACCTTTAATATAACCCTAAACCCCCTCCACACTTCAATCGATCAGGTTTTTGTTCTGTCCTGTATTGTATGTCCCAGATTTTCTGGTTGGAGTCCTCGTAGTTATCACAGTACCGCAGAGATAACAGCTCAAAAACACTTGTAAAGGAGAAGGTGTATATGTTGTCTATCTCCCTTTCAATCTTTAACTTAGTATTATTCCCTACCCTACGTTCATTCCCTTTACTATGTTTCCCATCTTCGTTGGTAATGTTTTGAGTAGTTGTTTTTCATCTACCTAATTTCCTCTTATTTCGATACATTTATGCGACGCCGTGTGTTTATTACCTAACTGCTTAATTTCATCGTGTTCAAATTGTAGGGTTTTCTCGAAAAATGTAGGCGTTGTTGCTTGTGTTTCTCAAGTTCATCTTTTTTATTGAATGACTGGTTATGCTATTGGTTAAAACGATATAAAACCGTATATTATTATTATCATTATTATTATAATAATTTGAACACATATATATTGGCACAGGAGTGCGCCAAATATATGCGCCACACAAAACAATGAGAATCTAAGAAGAAAAAGAAAAAAAAGTGGGGGACGTACAAAAAAAAACAATAACGAAGAGATTGGAGTAAGATAGTGTAATAATAATAATGGGGGAAACAGAAACGTACAATCAGAAGAGATCTTTCAGTTAAGGAAGAAGCAACCACTTTTTATGAAGAAAGGTTACAGCAGGATCGCCACTGGCTTCTGTTCTGAGCCATATCTGATAACGTCTCTAGCCACTGTGTAGCACCATCTCTCGGACCCCAACCAGGGAGTCGTAAAGGACCGACAGAAGCCAGTCCTTTGCAGCTTTCTTTCATACCACGACACCATGTCATGCATTGACCACCTCTGCTTTTTCCAACCAGTCCCAGGGTCGGAAAATAATGCACGACGTGGAAATCACTGGGACGACATTCGTAGAACATGTCCAAGCCACCGAAGTCGGTGTTTCAAGATGGTGACACCAATTGCATCATCATCTCTGTGCCCGAACACACGATGCCGAACCTCTGCATTACTAACATGGTGTTGCCACTGGATATCAGCAATCCTTCGGAGACAGCGATGATCGAACACAGAGAGTCGTCTAACGTCTTCAACTCGGAGAGGCCAGGTTTCACAAGCATAGAGCAAAACTGCTCTCATCGACGCGTTGTAAATCCGACCTTTTACGGCCAGACTAACATTACGAAGGCGCCAAAGATGGCCCAGATTGGCATATGCCGCTCTGGCTTTCACTATACGTGCATTGATCTCACCACTCACGCCACCACCACCAGCATTTATGCAGCTACCCAGATACACGAACTTGTCAACTACATCTATCTGCTCACCACACAGGATGAGTACAGGATTAGAATCCTGCCAGTCTTGTAGAAGTACTTTGCAGTTCGAAGATGCAAAGCACATACCATACCTACGGACACTGATCGCCAACTGATTAAGTGCGGATTGCATGCCTTGGGCATTATCGCACAGTAAGACAATATCGTCCGCATACTCAAGGTCGAGAAGTCTTTCTCCAGGCAACAGATCCACACCGCCATTACTTGCATCCATCAGAGCTGTTTCCAGAATGTCATCGATGGCAAAGTTGAAGAGGAATGGTGAGATTGGGCAACCCTGCCTAACCCCACTGCTCGAATGGAACAATGGAGAAAGGTGGTTGTATGCCCTCATTCTGCCTGAGGTGTTTGTATATAGGGCTTTTAGGATGTTGATAAACTTCTCATGCACACCCTTCTTCAACAGACAATCCCAGAGAACAGCCCTGTCCAACGAATCGAAAGCAGCCCTGATGTCAAGAAACACTACGATTGTTGGCCTTTGAAAATTATGACGGTGTTCTAACATTTGGCGGAGGGTGAAGATATGATCAATACATCCTCGACCAGAACGAAACCAAGACTGCTCCTCGCGAGTCAATCTATCACGGGTTTTGAACAACCTACGAAGTATGACGGAAGCCAATAGCTTGGACGCAATCGGAAGTAGACTTATCCCCCGATAGTTGTTACAGGAACGACGTGAACCCTTTTTAAAGATAGGGACAACTATCGACTCATTCCATGACGTTGGTACACTCTCTAGCTCCTAGACCTTCTTAAAAAACACAGTCAGTTCCTTAGCCAGAAAGTCACCTTCATCTTTAAAAGGAGCCGGAGGTAAGTCATCTGGGCCAGGTGATTTGTGACGCTTCAAGAGTTGAAGTTCCTTGATGACTTCCGCCTCATTTGGTGGATCAGTCGTCACCGGCCATGGAGGGCAGGACAGTCTGACCGATGTTGCCGGAGCAGCAGACCCGTTGAACTGCCTTTCGAAAAGCTCTGCCTATCGTCCAAGACGTCGATGGATGTTAGTGACTGGCATCCCATCATCCTCCCAGATTGTTTAGCTCACACCAGACTTCTTGCTGCCAGTGACTCGGATGAGTTGGAAGAGCTTCCGGTAGTTACCAGATGCAGCTGCTGCTTCCAGCTCATTAGCACGCTCCGACCACCAGGCTTCTCGGTCCTTACGCAGGCTTTGCCCAATTTCACTACGTAACAACCTTCGTTTGTGGTCAAACTAACGGTTACCCGGAGTAGACCGACGGGCTTCAGTGAGTTGTAAGGAACCAGAAGAAACCCAGTGCTTAAAAGCGGGACGTTTCGCGAACCCACAACTGACTGTACCCGCCATTTTCATGGCGTCATGCAATTGCAACCAATGCTCATCTATACTTTTCGGTGGAATGGTAGCTGGCCTAGAAACTAGCTCGTCTCCATACTTACTAGCAACAGAAGTTGCAGTCAGCTTGCTAACATCAATCCGTTGGTGGCGGTCACTTCGTTGTCCACTGAAAAGTAAGGTAAGATTGGCGCAGACCAAGGCATGGTCAGAGTCCAGATAGGTACTCCAAAAGGAACGGCAGTCTTGTACACAACCACGTCAGCGGTAGCTGATCGCGATGTGATCAGTCTGAGTCGATACTCGATTTCGTAAACAGCACTCCCCTCAATGAGAAGACTTCCCTGGCATTGGTTGTATGCATGTAGCCATGTGAGAGCATCTCGAGAGGGAGAGCTTGCTCTCTCCACCCTCGGCCGTATCAGGGCATTTGTGGGCCTTTGTGGAGCATAGGCTGTCGACCAGAAATCTCCATCCTTCCCTCTTCTGGGTTCTTTACAGTTGTTGCCAAGTGCTGTTCGTTCTTCTGATATGTCTGATTACCGGCGCATTGTGTTGTTTGGTCTTCCTCTTTTTCTTTTGCCTTGTGGATTCGAGACACAGTTTGGGTGACTCCGCAATGTGACCTATCCACCTTTAGCTTCTTTCCCTAATTTCCTCTTCAGCTGTAAGCTGGTTCGTCCTCTTCCATAGTAGGGTTTTATTTATGGTGTCCGGTCAACGGATCTGGAGTATCTCGCGTAGACAATTGTTGATAAATACCTGTGCTTTTCGATGGTGATTGTAGTGGTTCTCTAGGTTTTAGCATCGTACAATCTAACTGTCTTGACGTTCTCAATGAATATCCTGACTTTGGTGTTGGCTGGGAGTTGTTTTGAGTTTCATATGTTCTTCAGTTGCAGGAATGGTGCCCTTGCTTTCCCAACCCGTCCCTTCACATCTGCATCAGATCCTTCTTGTTTATCTATAATTCTGCCCAGATGTGTGAGAGTCTCCTCCTCCTCTTCTTCTTCTTCTTCTTCTTCTTCTTCTTCCTCCAGTGTTTCGGCACCAAGTGTGGTTGGGTTATTGTTTTCTGTGTTTTATTTTAGGATTTTGCTTTTCCCTTGTTGAGGCTCATTGCTGCAGAGGCTGCTGCTGCACTGGCTGTCTCCACTTGTATTTACTGATGTGTATGTGATAGAAGATCTAGGTTGTCTGCAAAGTCCAAATCGCCTGGTTGATTCCGGGCTGTCCATTCTATTTCGTGTTTCTCCTGAGATGTAATCCAGTCGAACACCAGAAGAAAGCGGATGGGGAAGAGTATGCAGCCATGTCTGACACCGGTCTTCACTTGAAATGCATCTGTCAGCTATCCTCTATTCACGACTGTACAGTGTGGTCCGTCGTATCAATTTTGTATGATGTTGACAATCTCAGGTACACCGTAGTGTCTAAGAAGGTTCTATCCACGTTATCAAATGCCTTCTCATAGTCAAGGATGTTGATGTATATTGATAAGTTCCATTCAACCGATTGCTCAACGATTATCTGTAGTGTCATGGTTTGGTCAGTACATGATCGATTCTAACGAAAGTCAACCTTTTGGTCCCGAAGTTGGGCGTTTACTGAATATCTCATTCGGTTCAACAACACTTTCGAAAACTTTGTCCAGTACTGATAGTAATGTGATGCGTCTGTAGTTCTCACACTTGCTCAGATCTTTCTTTGGTATCTTGATGAGGAATCCTTATTTATCTGTTTGCCCTTGCTTTTCTTCCCAAATCTTGCTGAATAGAACGTGGAGCATGTTTGTATTTCTATGCCTGACTTCAGTGCTTCAGCTGGTATGTTATCTGGTCCTGCTGCTTTCCCACTCTCGATTTGTCTGATGGCTGTGCTGATTTCTTCCATTGTTGGTGGAGTAGCATTTGTAAGAAGATCTGTGTGCGCTGCTTCGATGTTTGATGGGTTCAGTGGGGCTGGTCTATCTGAGCTCTTCAAAGTACTCTACTCACCTGTTCCGTTGATCCTTAGTTTCCGTGATCGGTTTTCCTTGTTCTTGACTGGTCGCACTTACTTACGCCTGTTACTCCTAATGGAGCATAGGCCGCCGACCAGCATTCTCCAACCCACTCTGTCCTGGGCCTTCTTTTCTAGTTCCATCCAATTCTTGTTCATTTTTCTCATGTCTATCTCTATTTCCCGGCGTAATGTGTTCTTTGGTCTTCCTCTTTTCCTTTGGCCTTGAGGATTCCATGTGAGGGCTTGTCATGTGACGCAATTGGGTGCTTTCCTCAATGTGTGTCCTATCCACTTCCAGCGCTTCTCCCTGATTTCTTCCTCCGCTGGGATCTGGTTTGTTCTCTCCCACAGTACGTTGTTGCTAATAGTGTCCGGCCAACGGATGCGAAGTATTTTGCGTAGACAACTGTTAATAAACACCTGTATCTTCTGGTCTTTATTAACCGCCTGGAGTCCCTCGGGGGGCTACTGCCGGTCCCAAGCCCGGATGTAGGAGGAGGGTTGGGCATAGGGTTAGCGACCCCATCCCGTAGAAAACTAACTCGCTAAAAAACGCTAACCAAAAAAAACTGGTCGCACTGGTTTACTATATTTCCTTGTTATTTTTTTCGTCATATAGTTTAGTTGTCTCATATCTCCTTGCAGTTTTTCCGTCTCTCATTCGTAGGTACTCCTCATATTCCCGCTCATCAGCTTTAATGCTCCTTTTCACTTGCCTATTTGGCTGTGTATTTGGCCTATGCCTTGACTTTGGTTACTCTTGTTTAGCTGTTGATTCCTGTCTTCTTGTTCTCTTTCGTGAATCTCATCCAGGGTATCAACAGAGATAAACTCTATGCTGATGTTTCTTGCAGCCCTTCACTCCATGGCATGTTAAAGTTATTGTTTCTTCAACCCCTTTCCAGTTGTTCCTCATAGTAGTCTCCTTTTCTCTGAGTAGATCTCGTAAGGCTTGGAACTTACGCTGAGTGCTATCTTGAGTTCGTTGAGTGCTGTTCGTACAGTTGTCCAGTGCTTCTTTAGCTTCAGTTTGATCTTGACCACCACCAGGTGGTGATCTGAAGCTATGTCAGCTCCTCTTTTGTTTCTCACATCTTCCATTGGCCTTCTTAATTTTCTAGTGATGCAGATATCGATCTGGTTCTCTGTAGCGTTATCCGGTAAAACCCATGTAGCTTTGTGTTTATGGGGGGGAGAGATGGTGTCACCTATAATCGTTTTTGTTGAAAGCGCGTAAATTTGCAAATTTCTCATCATTCCCTTTCTTTTCTCCTAATCCGCGTCATCTTATGATATCTTTATACTCGGTGTCGTCCATTTCAACCATGGCGTTTAGATCTTCCATCGGGATGGTCAGATCCTTTCCTGGCCATTTCTCTACTATAGACTTCAGCCTCTCGTAAAACTGATCGTTATCGTCCTCGTTGCTATCATTGGTGGGTGCATACCTCTGGATAAAACTTATTGTGATCTCTTCTTTCTTTGTTTTGAAGATTGCTTTGATGATTCTGGATCCGTGAGACTCTCATCCTATAAGTGTTTCTTATAGTTCTTTAAGCGGCAGCAGTACAACTCCTTGTGTATGCGAAGCATTCTCTTCTTCATGACCAGAGAACAACATCATTTCTTCTTGAGTTAGCCTTTTTTGTCCAGCTTGCATCCAATGGGTTTCATTTATTATAAGAGCCGCCAGATTGTCCTCTTGTCTCCGCCGATACTTGTACTGTCTTCCTGGTTTCCCACAGTGCGAACATTCTATCTATCTATATTAATTGTTGCTCTGTCTGCCAGAAGGAGTATCGACCTCGTGATTTCCAAAGGATCTCGGCTTCCATTACGAAGTATTGTAGCTCTTTTAATTGAATTTTTTTAAACTCCCAGGTTGGAGTTTAAATAATTCTACAGGACGTGGTCGCTAGCCTCATGTCCAACTGTCCCCCTTTATCCAGGCTTGGGACCGGCATTAACCCTAGAAGGGCTGCTGTCGGAGCTTCAAACCAAATAGTGAAGGCTAAACATGGTTCTTCATAACTATGCTGCAGTAAGCGTTATCTGTTCATGTTCAAAAGTGACATAGCGAAATGTGATCATTTTGAACACTGATTTCGAAGATTTTTTGGTAAGTAATAATATGCGGAGCTTAGTTTGTTTATTGATAACCTTGATACTAACAAATCTATGCAGTATATAAGGTAATTTGAATTATCTGATAATATTATATTGCAGTTAGGTAAGTTACTAAAAATATGTTGATGCGAATCAAATGTTTCTTAAATCAGTCAGAGATATTTGAATAATTTTAACTGCAATAATCAGATTTTTATATCTTCTTAGCTACAGTTATCTTTTTTAAGATCTGAAAGAAAAAGAAAAAGATCCTATCACTAAGTCTTAGTAATGAATTTAGATAACTCACTTTTGCTAACCCTCTCAAGTATGCAGAAATGTGTTCATTATTGAAATCAGTTTCTTATTACCAGAGGATTCGTCAGCCAATCATTATTCACATGGAGCACAACACACGTACATCGGTTCAAGTTCTCGTACCACATCACCCGAGAGAGATGGAATTAACAAGGTGAATAGCAAATGAACTGAAATAATAATAGTACCAGTGGTAATGAGAAAGATTAAACATTGTGGAATATATTTTGAAAAGAAGAGATGGATTCAGTGAATAGGAAAATATGAAGTAATTTTGAATCTCAAATCTGCTTCACCCAACCTCAAGCAGGTTGGAGTTGTCTCACAGATGCCAACCAAATAGTCTGGGTCTACTAGTACAAAGCAGCCCAATATTCATTGACTTCATGAACTGATACAATGTTTTGATTTCACTGACAATAGCTTTCTGTCTACATACCCCTATCTCAGCCTGGATTGCAAGTCATGATAGGGAGTGACTAAGGATGAGTAATACATATCCTAACCACCCTAATCGTTGAAGATCCGTAGCCTCATTAAATAATTTGTCATCTTTGCTCGGTATCTTACGTCCAACCTCAGCATTGCTCACTCAGTGGTCCCGACTTACGTGAAAAATGCTTCAAAGACAACTATGATCAAATAACATTAACTTACTTATATCCCTTACTTTGAAAGTCCACGTTTCATCATTGTGAAGTAAAACAAAATAGTGGAATACTGCAACATCTTTGCTGTTCATTATCCTCTAAACCCTCCGAAATGCGTTGCCGAGCAATAAGACAAAAATAATTTATTACTGACATGTAAATCATATCTGTACTAAATTCTCGAATTTATTCTATTTCTACTTACTAAATAACTTATTTTGTTCAATGCCTATAAGGTTATTCAGAATAGAATGGTAATAGTAATATGAAAAGAGACTGAATATTTTCTTACCACTGGTTAAAAAGCAGTTAATGCTACTATTGTTTCCATGATTGTCTTACTTTGAATGAGCATTATACTGTTGATGTTTGGATTCCACAATCCGAAACCTAACTCACCATTCTTGTTGGAGAAAGTTAATATGGATCATAAGAGTAGACGAATTTCCCATTTCTCACTTCAAGACTTAAGAATAAAGATCAAATATTGGATTACATCACAGTCATACCTGTTCCCCTATACTCTTTAATCAATCACGTTTCTGAGATGTGTCTAATTAGCATATTGTATGGTTTTTCCTCACAATGCTCAGTTTAGTCGGGTTGGGTCATTTTCATTAAATGTTAATTTCTAGCCTGTTTAGACCTGAAAATCTATATTTATATTTGCCTAGATTTTCTCTCTGTTTATAAATTCTTGATTTAAATAGTTTGCTCCTATGCCTCTTGTCGGCCTGAATCTTCAGAAAATTCAGTCAGTTATACAAGAATTTGTAGAGCCAGTTCCTGAACTCCCCAAAACTAGTAATGAACATATTTCATCCATGTGTAAACTCCCAACTCTCAGTACTTCACAACAAACTCCTGAAGAGGACGAAGCAGAAGAATTATTTGGAGAGATTCAAGATTGCTTTGATGTCTCAGTGGGTCTATGCTCTGATCCTGATCAAATGTTATTAACAAAAGAAAGCTTGGCTCGAAATCCAGACATCGATCATGAGCTCTGTCTTTCAATGCGGAACTGCATGAGTTCTGCTGCGTACATAAAAATGTCAGAATCCAGGTGTGAACTCCCAGCATACCAATTCAAAGAAGTGGGTATTTAGTTTATTTAATTATATTTGTACAGTTTGATGAGTGGGATTCTAGTACCTTGCACTGGCAATATATTTTTCCGACCTCTCCTTATGATGTAGGATTATAAAGAGAAATAACGACAGTACACTTCTAATATAGTTTGTAATCTTTTTAGGGTTAGTACAATTATTACCTAATGTGAAAAATTCTATATATACCAACTACATACTAATCAATCAATGATGTTAACAAATATTCCTAATATAAGACAGGGAATATACCCTAAAGATGCAAAACAAATCCGCTTCAGAAGTTTGGTTTGTATGATGCTGAAGTTGAAAATTCGAATTTACAGTTGCCGCTTCACATTTAATGTAAGCTTGTTTTCCGTACTCATATCTGCTAACCATAGTATCTTGGAAGAAATTTAGTTTTATGGATTGTTCAGGTCAATATCTTAATAATTGGCCTCGAACTATTTGCTTGACTATATTCATCTTGAAGCTCAATAAAACGCCACATCAATAACAATATCTTTTTTTTCTTGAAAATATATTTAATATTAATAAATAAACTTCATATACAACAACATTCACTTCAGTGTTCTTTTGTTCTAGGATATTGTCTCAACTATTCGAAATAACCAAGTTGTTATAATAAGCGGTGAAACAGGTTGTGGGAAGACTACACAGGTTCCACAGTTTATTTTGGAAGATCAGGTCTTAGGTGGAAATGGGTCTGTTACGCGCATCATTGTAACACAACCTCGGCGTATAAGTGCTGTTTCGGTTGCTGAACGTGTAGCAACTGAAAGAGGACAATCTATAGGATCTTCCGTTGGCTATCAGGTCCGATTAGAACGCCGATATCCTCAACGTCCTCATGGATCTATCATGTTTTGTACGACAGGAATTATTCTTCAATGGTTTCGTTCTGATCCACTTCTAAAGGTAACTAAACATTAATCATTTTTTCGAGTTATTTACGATTTTTCCGTACCAAACTGTTATAATTCATCTTCAATGATGAGGAACAAAACCGGATTTATCTGTGAAATACACTTTGAGTTAAATTTATTGTATATAAATTAGGTGAGTGAACCTTCAAGGTTATAGCCAAGAGATCGAAAATGTTTTAGCTAATGAATTAAGTAATACAGTGAGCGGACCCCAAAGAAAATTTTTTATACAATTACAATTTCAATATACCGCGAGCTCTGATTTATTCTTGATTTATGAAATATTCACATTAGAATCGACGTTAATGTTTACTTTATTTACTGTCAGAAGTTAAAGCCTTGTAAGTGATGTTTAAGGTCGATCAGTACTCATTAACAATTTACCATGGTCTCAACCGCTGAACTAATCACAGATTTTGTGTTTCCTATGTCTTCTCAATCAGAAGTTTACTTTAGTGGTAGTACTAACACCATACGAGTTTATAAGACACAGAAACGTTTTTACTTTGTTACTTTACTTCCCATTTTTATCATGTATTCACTGAGTTAACAAAATGCTAGTTTAAATCTTGACAGAAATTAACCTCGACAATAAACTTTGCGCTACGCTATACTTTGAATCTCTTCGTTATAGAATATCAGTCATATCATTGTTGATGAAGTACATGAACGAGAATTTTTATGTGATTTTCTATTGTGTATGCTAAAACGAATTGCTCCTCTTCGTTCAGATCTTCGAATAGTTCTCATGTCGGCAACAATCAACGCAGAAAAATTCGTTGAATATTTTGGTAAGTATCTATTAAAGTGCTTTCATGGTAGGGAGTCTTAGTTTAGTCGGATTGACTATATAAACTAAAACTTCTTTGCTTTATCTGCAATATCCCTATCACTTTCGAAATGGTTTTAAAAGATTTACATATTATTGTTGCATAATATAGCTGTCGTTTGTATGCACTTGAGGTTTGATAAATAAGGTGGGTGTAATTACGTAAATATTTTAATTGTTAGTGGATGGAATATTCATCATTATATTTCAAAATGTTTTACTGTGTTTTTTTTAAGCTGTGCATCGTAAAAAATAACAAATATGGACATTATTTAAATAAATAACTTGCTATAATATTCGTTAAGATTCGTAGTTATAAGTTAAATTGGTTCGTAACATTTTCTGTTTGTTAGCAGGTTACCGTGTTAGCTTGCTCATAGCTTGTGATGAATTCTCTGCAGTTATCTATTTATTTATTTGAACACATAAACATTGGTACAAGAGGGCACCATATATATATGCGCCACACAAAACAATGAGAATTTGAAGAGAAGGGAAAAAAGGTAAGGAGCGTAAAAAAAGAACAATAACGAACAGATTAGTGTAAGGTAGTGTAATAATAATAATGGGGGAAACAGAAACGTACAATCAGAAGAGATCTTTCAGTTAAGGAAGAAGCAACCACTTTTTATGAAGAAAGGTTACAGCAGGATCGCCACTGGCTTCTGTTCTGAGCCATATCTGATAACGTCTCTAGCCACTGTGTAGCACCATCTCTCGGACCCCAACCAGGGAGTCGTAAAGGACCGACAGAAGCCAGTCCTTTGCAGCTTTCTTTCATACCACGACACCATGTCATGCATTGACCACCTCTGCTTTTTCCAACCAGTCCCAGGGTCGGAAAATAATGCACGACGTGGAAATCACTGGGACGACATTCGTAGAACATGTCCAAGCCACCGAAGTCGGTGTTTCAAGATGGTGACACCAATTGCATCATCATCTCTGTGCCCGAACACACGATGCCGAACCTCTGCATTACTAACATGGTGTTGCCACTGGATATCAGCAATCCTTCGGAGACAGCGATGATCGAACACAGAGAGTCGTCTAACGTCTTCAACTCGGAGAGGCCAGGTTTCACAAGCATAGAGCAAAACTGCTCTCATCGACGCGTTGTAAATCCGACCTTTTACGGCCAGACTAACATTACGAAGGCGCCAAAGATGGCCCAGATTGGCATATGCCGCTCTGGCTTTCACTATACGTGCATTGATCTCATCACTCACGCCACCACCACCAGCATTTATGCAGCTACCCAGATACACGAACTTGTCAACTACATCTATCTGCTCACCACACAGGATGAGTACAGGATTAGAATCCTGCCAGTCTTGTAGAAGTACTTTGCAGTTCGAAGATGCAAAGCACATACCATACCTACGGACACTGATCGCCAACTGATTAAGTGCGGATTGCATGCCTTGGGCATTATCGCACAGTAAGACAATATCGTCCGCATACTCAAGGTCGAGAAGTCTTTCTCCAGGCAACAGATCCACACCGCCATTACTTGCATCCATCAGAGCTGTTTCCAGAATGTCATCGATGGCAAAGTTGAAGAGGAATGGTGAGATTGGGCAACCCTGCCTAACCCCACTGCTCGAATGGAACAATGGAGAAAGGTGGTTGTATGCCCTCATTCTGCCTGAGGTGTTTGTATATAGGGCTTTTAGGATGTTGATAAACTTCTCATGCACACCCTTCTTCAACAGACAATCCCAGAGAACAGCCCTGTCCAACGAATCGAAAGCAGCCCTGATGTCAAGAAACACTACGATTGTTGGCCTTTGAAAATTATGACGGTGTTCTAACATTTGGCGGAGGGTGAAGATATGATCAATACATCCTCGACCAGAACGAAACCAAGACTGCTCCTCGCGAGTCAATCTATCACGGGTTTTGAACAACCTACGAAGTATGACGGAAGCCAATAGCTTGGACGCAATCGGAAGTAGACTTATCCCCCGATAGTTGTTACAGGAACGACGTGAACCCTTTTTAAAGATAGGGACAACTATCGACTCATTCCATGACGTTGGTACACTCTCTAGCTCCTAGACCTTCTTAAAAAACACAGTCAGTTCCTTAGCCAGAAAGTCACCTTCATCTTTAAAAGGAGCCGGAGGTAAGTCATCTGGGCCAGGTGATTTGTGACGCTTCAAGAGTTGAAGTTCCTTGATGACTTCCGCCTCATTTGGTGGATCAGTCGTCACCGGCCATGGAGGGCAGGACAGTCTGACCGATGTTGCCGGAGCAGCAGACCCGTTGAACTGCCTTTCGAAAAGCTCTGCCTATCGTCCAAGACGTCGATGGATGTTAGTGACTGGCATCCCATCATCCTCCCAGATTGTTTAGCTCACACCAGACTTCTTGCTGCCAGTGACTCGGATGAGTTGGAAGAGCTTCCGGTAGTTACCAGATGCAGCTGCTGCTTCCAGCTCATTAGCACGCTCCGACCACCAGGCTTCTCGGTCCTTACGCAGGCTTTGCCCAATTTCACTACGTAACAACCTTCGTTTGTGGTCAAACTCACGGTTACCCGGAGTAGACCGACGAGCTTCAGTGAGTTGTAAGGAACCAGAAGAAACCCAGTGCTTATAAGTGGGACGTTTCGCGAAGCTGCAAGCGACTTTACTCACGATTTTCATGGCGTCATGCAATTATACTGCGCGGCAGTTCCTTTTTTCGTACTTTACGGCTGCGAAACTTGGCTATTATGAGTTGAAGATATTCGCAAGCTACTAGTATTTGACCACAGATGCCTTAGAAATATTGCTGGCATTTGCTGGGATCTCCGCGTAAGTAATAGTGAGGTTAGATGGATGGTATTAGGGAATGATGGTAAATCAGTGGATGAGGTTGTAAATCTTCATCGACTGAGTTGGTTGGGCCACCTGTTACGTATACTTGAACACCGATTACCACGTCGCTAAATGTTGACTAGTTCTGGGGATGGTTGGAAGAAAGTTGAGGGCGGCCAAACCAAAACGTGTTATCAGTGCTTGAAGTCACTAACTTCTAGTCTGAGCCATGTTGGTAGATGCAGACTACTTGGTTGTGGTCCGCGTGACTATCGTAACCAATGGTCGATACTCTGTGTGACATCTATTTTTGTATTTTTAAATCATCTACTTAATTATAGAAAGTAGGTAATTGGTTTCAGTTATTATTTTTTTAATATTAATTTTGTTTGGCTATTCAGTCGGAAAGAACTCTTCATATGTCTCACATTCATTTTGATGTTATCATGTGTTATAAACAACTTAAGACCTCATTGAATCTCAGTTTTAAACAGAAATTCTCAATTTATATTAATCTACCTCAATTAATTTTAAGACGTCTAACTTCCGGCCACTTAAAGATTGTCAGATTTCTTCGAAGAACTGTTTGTTACTCCTTCATGATAACGAACAACAGCAAACTTACCATTGATATTTCCAGTAATTGTAAATAGACAATAATTGTTTATGACTACTTTTATTTTGGATTACCACTAGTTTAAAGGCACAAGTTTTTCTGTTTTGACTAAGTCCGGCTAGTTGTCATGTAATTTATTCGTCAGTCGAAATACAACTAATTCACTCTTGTACTGTACTGAACCAATGACGTTCGAGCGGTCTGATCAGCCTAGCGTCCTATTGGTCCCTAGCTCGCCTAGCCCGTCCAGTTGAGTCCACAACACCATTAACAGCTTCCACTATGCGAATCATTTATTTCAAACATACTTGCTTTATATACCAGCCAAACAGACCGCATCGCACTGTAAAATAGGAAATAGCATTTATATACGATAAAGTCCAAAATGTGGCCGTGAACGTGGTAGACGGTAATCAATAAACTTAGTATAATTTAAGAACAGTAAATCGTACAATGATAATCTATAGGTCAAAATGAAGCTTATAATAAGGGGAATATAGATATACATAATCTAATCACTGAATGGTCGTTTGTGATAATATTAGATGAAACATTTTATAGTAAACTACTTAACAGATCTTTATGAACGATGTGTCTTGAGAAGAACTTGCTTGCATAACCTAATGACTCAGTCGTCAGATAACACATTTCAAAGGTGACTAAACCTCAAGTCTTTTTGCATTGTATTTCAAAGTCAGTTGATGCTATAACAGCCTTAATTAAAGAGCTACAATCTATACTTTATTTAAGGCCTTTAGTTCACCAAAACTTTGACTTTTGGTTGAACTTAGTCAATCTAAGAAGTAAAGATTATTGTTATAACTGTTAGAGATAATCACGAAGTTATAAACTACTGTTTTTTTCCAACCTTTCAAAATACTTCATCATCTGCATACAACCCCATTGATCTACGTGACTAAAGATGCTTGATAACCTATTAATTTCTTGTAAATTACTTTGGTAAAAGTAAATAAATAAACAATTCTAAATGAAATATGTTTCATTTTTATTTTATAGTAAAATGTTTAAATCTTATTACTTAAATACGCATTGTAGTCCATATTTATAATTGCTTACTGGGTTTTTGTCTTATTGATACTACGTCTTGAACATTCTTTTTAACTGACTGGAGGATTTATTTATGTATGTATGTCATAGAGAAAGAAGCCAGTACTGTACAGCTCTCTTTCATATCACGAAACCATGTCACACTGTTATGACTGTGAAAAATGCTGCTGATTAAGGGGTAGCGAATTATTGATCGGACCAAAGACGCGCAAACACGTAGAACGACCTAGGGTTCTGATTGGCCCCGCTTCCCTGCCTAGCCCAGCGAGTTAAGTCCAGAACGCAAGTCTCAGCCTCGGATTTATGAATCATTGTATTTCAGACATACTCTATTTATATACTAGCCAAACAGACCACATCGTACCATAAAAATAGAAAACGACATTTGTACAATATTTAACGAATGAAATAAATAATGGCCAATAGGAAATGTTCATTTAACGTCCAAGGACATCATTAGACTTAACATGATAATGATTGGCACATTATTCCTCAGCTTCCCTAACACCTCCCCTTTTTTTCGAAGATCCGGAGTTGATATCCGGATTTTAAAATTTTCTGCATCCGTCCTCCCCCGCGAAATAACGTTGGGTCCTCATATACCCAAGTAACAGCTAGTCTGATTCTATTTAAAGCATATTTCCCGCATTGGGTAGAGAGTCCACTAGAACTGACTAGATGGTGAGGATCAGCGACACTAGACATGAGGTCATTAGGGTTTGATTCTTGTGAAACATTTCCATCAGATCTCTTCAAAATTCCATTAGTGGATAATAGATCACTAAAATAGACAGCATCTATCAAAATTGTATTAGATTTCTGACCATTATTTGATGCATGGGACACATTTTCTGGCAAAATAAGAGGATCTTTTCGTGAGCTGGATATGCTACTGTCTGTACATGCTGTTTCAGGGATGATGGAGTTTGATTCCATTACCGGGCATGTTTCTGGAATGGAAAGAACTGGACCACTGAGCGTATCATGGATGACTGCCGTTTTGTTTGAAGTACAGTTTATCGAGGATTCATGGAGGCTGCTGTCATTTTCCAGCTCACTGTGTAATTGAGATATTAATCCATCCACTTCCGTCACATCTTCATAGCATGACTGGTTTAGCAGCTGCGTGCGGAATTTGACTAATAACTCCAAATGTTTTTCAAAGAGCAGCTGTAATCGATCGGAAGGGAGTCATTTTTTTCTTTGAATCAGCACCGTAAATGAAAGTTACTGTATGAATAATGGCCAATGTCGTTCAAGGACACTGATAACCATCTGGATACTGATTGGTTGAATAATTAGACTGGATTTCGTCTAATTACAGAATGACTTTGGATTGTATCTTTTCTTCACCCCGTCGCCAGTTGTTATAACTGTGAGAGGCTAGGTTTCACTAGCATAGAGCAAAACTGTTTTCACCAACACGTTATAGACCCGACATTTACAGCCAGACTAACATCACGAAGGTACCAAAGATGGCCCAGATTGGTATAAGACATTCTGGCTTTCACTATACGTGGATTGATCTCATCACTCACGCCACCATCACCAGCATCTATGCAGCTACTTAGATATACGAACTCCTCAACTACTTCTGTCCGCTCACTACTCAGGGTGAGTGCAAGTTCAGAGTCCTGCCAGTCTTGTAAAAGTACCTTGCACTTGGAAAGTGCGTAGCATATACAATACCTAGGGACACTGAATAACTCGGAAGTAGACTTATCCCCCGATAGTTGTTACAAAAACGACATGAACCGTTTTCAAAGATAGGTACGTCATCCGGGCCCGGTGATTTGTAGCGCTTCAAGAGTTGAAGTTCCTTGATGACTTCCGCCTCATTTGGTGGATCAGTCGTCACCGGCCATGGAGGGCAGGACAGTCTGACCGATGTTGCCGGAGCAGCAGACCCGTTGAACTGCCTTTCGAAAAGCTCTGCCTATCGTCCAAGACGTCGATGGATGTTAGTGACTGGCATCCCATCATCCTCCCAGATTGTTTAGCTCACACCAGACTTCTTGCTGCCAGTGACTCGGATGAGTTGGAAGAGCTTCCGGTAGTTACCAGATGCAGCTGCTGCTTCCAGCTCATTAGCACGCTCCGACTACCAGGCTTCTCGGTCCTTACGCAAGCTTCTCCCGATTTCATTACGTAACAGCCTTCGTTTTTGATCAAACTCTCGGTCACACGGAGTAGACCGACGAGCTTCAATGAGTTGTAAGGAACCAGAAGAAACCCAGTGCTTATAAGTGGGACGTTTCGCGAAGCTGCAAGCGACTTTACTCACGATTTTCATGGTGTTATGCAATTACAACCAATGCTCGTCTTTACTTTTCGGTGGGATGGTAGATAGTTTTGAACCTAGCTCGGTTTATTATTTACTTGCAAAATAAGCTGAAACCAATTTACTGACATCGATCCGCTTGGTACGATGAGTTTCCCAGCCACTGAAAAGTAAGGCAAGATTATCACAAACAAGGGCATGATCAGAGTTCAGATAGGTACTCCAAGAGGAGCGTAAGTCTTGTACACAACCACGCCAGCGTAGCTGATCGCGATGTGATCAATCTGAGTCGAAACTTGAGATGCGAATGAGGGACACTGGGTAGCACATCGGCGATGACTGTGTCGGTAGTCAGTGCTAGCCAAAAACAGGTCGTGGTCTGCACACAGTTGCAGTAAATGGTCCCCGTTATCTAACCTGCGACCAACAAGTCCCCATCAGCCACCTAAACGACTCTCTTCTGTGCCTAGACGCTCGACCTGAGCATTCATGTCTCCGACTATTATTACAATATCTGTCGAACGCATTTTCTGGAGAAGAACAGTTAACTGGCGGAAAAACCTATTCTTGGTCGCATCCAGGCTGCAATCTGTCGGACCATAGGTGGAGATAATGAAAAGACAACGTTTCTCACAATGATTTCTCAATTTGATGGAACATTCTAATCTAACAGCAATAACCGACTGTCAGTGGCGATCCAATCGATCAGTGTTGCCTCAGTTCCAGTGATAATGTCGAAGGGAACCAGTTTGAATGGTATACGTGGTTTCAGAAAGACTGAGTATTCGTATTTGGTGGTGGATTTCAACTTTCAGTCAGTCAGCGACTTGAAATTTTTTTAGGTAGGACAAGGTTTTCACCGTAGGTGAGCTTCTGTATAAGTTGAAAAATAAAATACGCAAAATAAGAATAAAGGGGGGTGCATAAGTAACATAGTAGTCTGAGTAACCGTTGAAACAAGAGAAAACTTTCCATTCGTACTTGTCATTGGTTTGTATAAGGGCTTTGATACTGCCCGGGCGTCCAAACCGAAGCAGATGATTTTCTCTAGGGGCCACACCCCAAGCCTTTGACCTAAATGGCCAACCCACAAGGCAGTGTAGTAATGCCAGGAGATGCAGTCCCCATGATGGCCAGTGACCAACAATAGGTTCATACGCCATTCGTTCCCTCATGATCCTGGAGCCCATGTACACCATTGGTTTGGAATCAGGGTTTCCCAACATTCATTTCTCGTCTCCTCAATTTCGTGAACAACACCCCGGTTACGAGGAGGCAGTGAGTAGGACTTCCCTGTCAGTTGTTATGGACGTGGCCATATGAGAGAATTTCGAGAGGGAGAGCAGACTCACCCCACCTTCGGCCATACCAGGGCAAACTTGGATAAGTTACTTCATCATCTACTTTTGAATACGATGATCAATTAAGTGAATTCTTATAAACATAGGACAACAGTAATAATATAATAATATGTATTCATTTTGTCGCTAACTGTTCACAACCTATTGTTCAGTTCTTGTCATACTATCGCAATTTTTGTTGTTTCTTGACTAAAATTTATAATATACAATAAATTCACCGCAACTGTAAACGACTACACTTTGGATTTCCAATGAGCTTACGTTTAGTCATGATTTCGTATTATGTAAGGGGTTAATAGTTACCATTCTTAAATGTCTATTACTACATATCAGTATATGATTATTTCTCTGGACATTTAGAACCTTAACTTTGAAATCCGTTCTGAATCTGACGAATACCTTTGCTTTAATTTTTTTATTACTTTTAGACAATTGTCCTAAATTTGAAATTCCCGGTAGAACCTTCCCAGTGAAGACATATTATTTAGAAGATGTTTTGAGAGAAACTAAGTAAGCTGACTTCGTGTAATAATATTATAATCAATAATCACCCGGTAAATCGCACTCTTCAGTCACTATAAATATTTATTTGTAATGTTTCTTAAGTAATAATGTAACATCGACGTATAATTCCTAGTCTTGTTATGAGGATTACGATTGTAGTGTTATTCTTACGTGTATTATTCTGCTTAAATATTGTCTCATACTAGATAATTTCATTAATCAATGAATACTCGTTTGAGTACAGATTGTCACACAATAATCTCATTTTATGCTCTTTTTCCTACTATTTCATAAAGCTTATATTTTTATTGGTTCCAGCGGTATTCACTTTCGTTTCTGAGATTTGATAACTAATCCACACCGCACACTGAAAGAAAGTGACTTTTCAGTTTCCCCTTTTTTATTTTTATAATTAATTAAAATATGTTCTGTAACTCGTTATTACTTATATTTCAAGTGTAGAAAACCTAACTGATATCGTTTTGATAGTGAGGAATTTAACCAGTTAGGCTTCAAAATGAAAATTTACCTAATATTTAACTTTTAATGAATTCTTGAGTGACCATTAAAACTGACAGTATAGGTTATAGCTGATTTTCTTTATGTAACTAAAACATCTTGATATTACGTTAGTTGCTTCCTATATACTATAGTGATATGTTTGATCTATTTATTTTTGGTTTACATCTGTAAGTTTTTCTATTGATTATTAACTTTGTTTCTACATTCTTTATCATTTAGTATCAATTGAGTTTCAATTATATCAAGCAAAAAAATTGGATTGAAACTTTTTATGAATTTATTATTTCTCTTAGATTTTGGTTGCCAAATAATGCTATAACCGCTTTATGCCGTGATCAATCACGTACATTAAAACAGCGTCTTTTAAAATCTAATCTTTCAAAAAAAGAAGCTCGTATATTATCTTATGGAAAAAGCCCTGAATTCAATAAATGGTTGCATTCATTAACAGGGTATGTTAAAGTTTTTAGAAAGAAAAAATATCTTTCATTGGCTTTTTCCCTCTATAATTTTCCGCGATATGAAAATATTGCTTTTTTGAAAAAAAAGTGTACCAGCTTCCCTCAAATGCCCTGGTGCATCTGGTTATGAGGAGAGTTATTTCCCCCTCTTCAAGTGCTCTCATACTCACACACATTCACAGTCCCTGTTACGGAAAGTTTTTCTCATAAATTCCATGCGGTGGGTGTGTTGTTAACAAAAGTGAAAAAAAGCAAACTTCAGGAGCTCAAACTGGGAGGGTGGATACTCAGGTTGTGCCAAGAGGAGTTGGAGAACCCTAGTTCCAAATTATTGGTGTACAAGGCCTTTAGGATCCTGACGATACGAACGGCATATGAACATATTTATGGTCACAGGGTACCATGAAACATCGTTTCCCAATATTGCTCCTTCGCGTCATGGAATAGACCTTTAGGCCTAAGATTCGAGGAATGAACCCTCTAAGGAAACAATCTGCTTTCGTTTGAGCGCCTGAATGATATTCCAGCCCATATCCAAGTATTCTTTGTGGTTTATACTATTTTTGGTACCCAGTTGTACCAGATTTTCTGTGTTTTCTGTGTTCACTAACTCATTGACACAGTTATCTGGTTGCACATTTAATATGACTTTCTCCACAGGAGCAGTTTAATTCGTAGCTACACATGGATGTAGCAAAATCAGGTAACTTATCCTTTATCAATCACCATAAGTGGGCTAAAAAACGATAGACAGACTTTAGCTGCAATAAAAGTCCTCTTCGCTTTAGTCACTCTATTTCATGTACATCTCTAGCCATATCTTCGCCAAATCGTAGCTTCAGGAAGATAGGTTTCCTACTAACCGTTGATTTCACTCTTTTCCTGTCCGTTTTTGCCAACTTGCGTCTACCAACCAAAGGACGGGTTTACTGCGCAGCAGTTCGTTCCGTTCTTTATGGCAGTGAAACATGGCCGGTAAGAGTAGAGGATATTCATACGTTACTAGTATTTGATCATAGGTGTCTTCGAAACATTGCTCGTATATCCTGGGACCATCGAGTAAGTAACACAGTTGTTAGGAAACGGGTACTATGTAAGGATGGCAAATCAATTGATGAAGTAGTGAAACTTCATTAGTTGAGATGGCTGGGACATGTGTTACGTATGCCCAACCACCGACTGCCTCGACGTGCGATGCTCAGTGGTATAGGAGTAGATTGGAAGAAAGCTAGGGGCGGCCAGACCAAAACATGGCACAAGTCTATGAAGTCACTGACAAGTAGACTTAGTCATGTTGGTAGGTGTAGACTACCTGGTTGGGGACCGCGAGATGATAGCAACCGATGGTTAGAGACCCTGAATGACATGGTTCAAAATCCTTTGCCATGGAGCGGGTGCATCCACTTTTCGTGTTCTCCCAAATTCTAGTTTTCTGAATTCTTCATGTCCCTTTTTTCTCTTTCCAAATTTATTTCACTGGATTATACTCCTTGAATGACATTTTCAAACCCTAATCTTTCCAGTCACTGCTTATACTTTTACTACCTTTACCACTATGGGATTTGAATCGACAATTGTATTTATTTGCTAATGTGGTATGGCAACTCGAACTGATGTATGTACGTCCGAAGTTCTACGTTGTTACTGACTGACTGACTGTATAACTAAATATGACAACCCGAAATGCAATAGATATTTTATTTTTATTTCTAACATACCAAATTCTTCACCCTCTTCAAGTATATTCTTTACTCTCCAATTATTTAAGTACTTCTTTCTACACAAATTTATATTTTTATATTTTGTAATGTCACTATGTTTTTTTTCGCATCGTTTACTTTTTATCATGAAGCTGTGTTTCAAGCCCTTTTTATTCTTATCACTAATATATCTATACTTGTACTTTCTACCTATGCTATATATTTTTTCTTTTTTCTTTTTTACTATTTAATCATGTGTTAATGTAATTCGTTTATTTATTTATCTACTCTGAAGAAGAAGGTTTACATTTGTGTGTGATGTGCGGGAAGTTTAATTTTCTGCTAACTTGGATATTACAAATACATCATTTATTTTTTAAACATTCTTTATAATTCTCAGCTTTAAAAGTATTAAACCAAATTTTGTTAATGATGACTACATGTTTTGTATTCGTCAAACCATTCGGTATAATCGACCATTATGAGTTTAATGATTTTCGCTACTTTGCTGGGTGGTTTCACTAATTAATCAATGATGGAATTTGTTTGCAAACTTCTTACTAAAATTTGTATTTAATTGTTATAAGATGGAAGTAGGTTAGACGTAGCGTCATTTTCAGTAGTGGTAACTGTATCATTTGTTTATAAACACATGTTTTATTCTTATTCATCGTCAAATGTACTATGAAATATACACTGATAACTGAGGCTCTAGCAAGATTAAACATTCGGATGCCTTAATTTTGTTAAGCACTTTTATTTCTCTCTTTTTCAATATACCTGCCTTATTTTTAATTCTTACCTATACTTTTATGAGTTTATTGATCTCATGTGACATTTTTCTATTGTTTTCTGTAATTACCCCTTTTATATTCACGTATTTTAAGTTCATGGTAACGTTTTTTGTAATCAAGCATTAGACTAAACGTTTTGTTATAATGTAAGTGTACAGTTTGATTATACAATAAATTCAAGGAAATTCTCCACTCTTGATACTAATTAGCCGTTTCAACTCAATGATATCGTACATGTTCATAAACTGGACGTTTGATCTCACATTTTTATGGTAGCTAGAAACGTTATTCAATCGTCTAGTGGTTGTAAGAGTTCAGTAGAATATTCTGTATAACTGTTTGTACTTGTCAATAGGGAGTATCTACATACTTGAAGGAACCTAGTGCTCCATTAGGAGCCCAAACCTAGTTCACACGTTTTGACAGCAAAAGATCACTCTGATATATATCTTAGCACCTCAAATCTGGTTGGTAGAAATTAGTCAGTAGTAAAAGCAAAACATTTCTAGTGCATTCTATATAGAAATTTATTAGGTATATTTTCAGGGTTACCCTGAAATATTCCCAATTTGTAATAAACGCAAGTAGATTCTATACTGCAATTAATGAATAGTGTTCAATCTATCTATTAGATTCTAAATCATATCGACCTATCTACATCCGCCATGATTAGCGTTTTTATTATCATTGTTATTAGATTTTATAATATGCATATGCTTATTTCCAAAGTAATAGGATCATCAGTTGATTTCATCGTTTAAATCTTGCAGTAACACAAATAAAACTATGTTGAAATCGTGTTCCTTTTTTGTAGGAAAAATTCCGACTTTTTATGCTTTTGTTTCTGTAACGAACTAAATATAAGGTTACTTAGTACTAATATGATCAGTGGTGTTATATTTTGATTAAGGGAACTATATTTTTCTCAAATTTATATACTAACCAGCTTTACAGTTGTATAAGCCTTCTTTCCTTTAATCAACTGAAACATACTCCTTGACCAAAAGTGAAATTTGAATTCTCTCAAACAAAGTGCAGAAATTTTCATCAGCTTTTCCTGAGATCAATCAATTTTGCAATTTTCATTTATCTATCTATATTTTTAATCTTTGCAATACAGATTTTATAAGTTTCTATTAAGTTAGTACCCTCCATTTTCTGAATTACGCTAACTAAATATCTAGATGAAAACCACTTAAATGTTGGTGTGTTGGAAAAAATCACTGTTCTCCTGATGTTTGAAAGTACAAGAAAATCTAGATGATGATTTAACTTCAATTTCCCAATACATATTTCTATATATTTTGTCATAAGAATAAAGAAGCAATAACTTTCTGGAAATTAACATTTTGCAATTATTATGTACATTATTATTAATATTTATCAAATACAGTCTAACTTTTGCATATACTAGTTACCAGCTTAACCGTACATCTTGGTATTATTTATTAAAAGTCTCTAATAAAATTTTTAACTTTGAACATTCAGATTATCGTCCAATGCAATAGAAATTTTACGTAGTGTTGGAGAAGATACCTATCCTCAAACCGATCTTATTGCACATTCAGTTGAGCATATTTTACAGAATACACAATCGGGTGCAATACTTGTTTTTGTTCCAGGTCTTGTCGTAAGTCATCATCTTTGTGGTGGTGTTTGATTTCACTATAAAGATTGATATGTATGTACCATTCAGTATTTCATTACAACTAATTTTTTCATGTTTTAGATGCGATACCATGTTATCTTACATCGTTTATTCACGATTGTTGATAACTTCTCTTGGTTGGCTAACTGTGATCAAATAACTTGATTGTAGATTAAGTGATGTTTTTGTTGGTGTCGTTGTGTAACGAGTGATTGTAAATTTTTTGATATTTTTACTCTATACAGCGTCTAACCCTGATCAGTAATCAACTTGAAGCTCAGTTTACATGAAATATGTCTTATATAATTAAATTAAAATGCCGGAAATTTTTAAAGTTAGTACCAAAAGATCATGAATCTTAAGTTTTAAATGTGTCCCTCAAAATTTGTGCGTGTCAATAAATCCAACTAATGAACTTTTTTCATACTCAAATAGATATTCAAAAACATCCTGAACTTTAGTAGTGTGGTGTATGCTACTTATGTTGACAGATACAAGTGGTATGTAGCAGCGATCAGAAGTGGACTGCCTGAGAGCAGATGTACAAATAATATACTTAATGCATGATTTTCACATTCTACTAAACCACCGCGTGATTACGCATCGAACAAGAAATTAGCTTCTCCCACCTGAATGTTCATTCACTACAGTAGTATTGTATTTTAAAAATATTTATTTTGATTGTTTTTCTGGGTTTTCGATACTGTAAAGAAGTTATTAAATGAATTCACTTAAAAACAAACAAATTTAGCTTCAAAGTAAGTGGCATTATACACTATGGTGCCAGTTCGACAGGGTTATATTAAAATTACCATTAATAAATATCAAACCATTTTATTTCTATTAATTTCTTGTGTGCATCTTTTTTTCAACTTAAAGTTCCACTGTTTACTTCTTTGATTATGTTTATCGCTTACTAGGACATAAAAGATGTAATCAGATGTTTGCGTGAATTAAATCCAAGACGATATGATGATCGTTATGGAAATGTTAGAATTTATCCATTACACTCAAGAATTCCCACGTCTAGAGATCGCTCACTGTTCGAACCCTCACCAAAAAATCAAAGAAAAGTGATTATAGCAACTAATATCGCTGAAACGAGGTCAGTGAAGATTTATCACTACACTTTATTTCAATGTACGGCTGTTTATCCATCTATCTATCTGTTTATATGTTTTTTTTTTCAAAAGACCGTCGAAAATATTTGCTATTAATAAAATCGCACAGTAATAAGTAAATTACGATACATGTATGAAAATAAATAAGGTTAAATTTTATGACATATATTCCAACAAATGACTACAACAAACGGCGATCTTTTACACCAGTCCCATCTATTATAACAATGACATGCTGTGAAGTAGACGTATGACAAAAATCTGATAAAAAGTCCAGCATGAAATAAAATGTGGAGAAAGTAGTTGCATTGAGATTTGAATGATTCAAAGAGAAATTAGGATTAAATACATTTGTTCAGTACTAACTATTGAGTTTTCTTATCTGTCTAATACCATCTATTAAGCTTATAGTTTCAGAGATAGAACTAACGTTTTATCACTTTTGTAAATGATGGTAGCATATCTTGTTATATCTAACGATACGGCTTCAACTGTCATCCTGTTTTTCTTCATTGGAGTGCTCACTTTGTATGAGTAAAATATTTTGTGACCATTTCTCACGGAATCATGTGGATGCGGGATGAAAAACATTTAATTCGTTTATCATTACAGCTCATTTTAGTTCTTGACTCCGCATCATATGTTCATGGACCGCTTTCCTGTATGACGCTACACTCATGCCTAGATGTGGTTTTGAATGTTTCACCATTACTCCACGTATCAGTTGGTTACTGATTTCAGAACATGAAATTTAGTATGTTAAATATCGTTTCTCTGATAGTGTAGCAAGAAGACAGTTGATCTAAAAAATGTGATGTATTTGAGTCATTTAGATCAACCTGATCACACGTACATTTACATATTCAGGCGTTTTTATATGAAAACCGATAAAGGTTAATTAAATAAGAGTTCAATAAGTATAACGTGATAATTAGAAAAAAATAATATAAAACGACAAGAAGTTATTACACCACGGTAGGTCTTAAAATGAATTAAAGACTACCAGGATAGATTCAATGTTAGAACAAACTACAATGTCAGTTGAGAATTGGTAATAATATTTTATAAACGGACAAGAGAATCTCTTAGCTTACTGATTTATCATTTACTTTTCAAAATTACAGGTAAGACTTATTAGATTCTGTCATTTTTTCTACTGATTGTTAATGGGTTCACAAGTTCAGTGTAAGGCTACATGTAAACCTGGATCAACCGATAACAATGAAAACATACTAAAAATATGATGCACATCTGCTACCTACTAACTGTCTATTTCTAAAGTGATTTTAGCTAACTTGTTATGTAAAAATGTAATACGTTTTGCTTTTGTCTGGAGAATTTGAGTGATCTGCTTTGTGAAAGTAAATACCTTTCTTTCTCTGTAGCATAACCATTCAAGACGTAGTTTATGTGATTGATTGTGGTCGTATCAAAGTGACAGATTATGATCCAAGACAAAACACATCAACTTTAACTGCGATCCTGGTTAGCAAAGCCAATGCAGCTCAGCGTTCTGGAAGAGCTGGCCGGTAAGGTTTCTTAATATAAAATTTCAAATGGCTTCGTGTTCTATCTTTCCGACAAATTTTATCTCAAGGAAATTTAAATCTTGATCATGTTCTTTTTATTATATTATGCTAAATTAATTTGCAATATCAAAGTAATAAATACTTTGGTGGTAGAATACGTCAATCACAAATCAAATTTCCTTAGTTATAAGGTATAGTATAATTATTTTAAATAAAATGGTATTTATTTAGTTTCTCAATAATCAATTATAATTTCAATGGCTAAGTCAGAGAGTTGTAGTTGATTTTGCTAAATATTCTAACAAAATCCTAGGTCATGAAGGCAATGTACAATAAGAAAACTGCTCTTCACTCGTACTCTATGGTTCATAATTTTCTCATAAGTTTATTACGAATGTAATGTAACTAGTCTAAAAATGAAATGTTTTTGATTAAATATCAAAGCTTCAAAAACATTTAACGGTTGTTAGCTCCTTTGAATACCATACTTGCTATCTGAAAAACGAAATCTGAAAAAATGTTAACGTTTATTTTCTAAGATATTCCTACATTTTGCGTGTATTAAACGTGTAAAATTTGTCTGTCGATTACTAAAATCAAATAGCGGGTTGTAATAAATTTTACATTTCCAAGTCATGCATCTTGATTATATTCTTTCTGTCAGTCTCGACAGTAATATTACCTGAAGACATTGCTTCATACATTTTTGGAGATGATAATTAAAGACTTACTTCATTCATTTAAGAATGTTACTGATTCACGTTCCACCATGCTGAACTGACCACTTTGAGTATCAGTTTAGTGTTATCTTGCTGTAATGATTTCAAATCTGTGGTGTACAATTATATTTTAGGCTTTAAGTTAATGCGAATGTTCATTATGGGTGTTCGCTAGAGAAACTATCTACTCAACTTTCAGCTAATGATTATGATTTAAAATTTAATCGGTTTTTATTCGAAACTATGAACCATACTTCAATACAAACAATCAAAAACGGTTTATGTAGGTCAGCAGCAGTAATACACGAAATATTAACCAATCCATTTACTACAAAGTCACCCAAATGCTTTAATATTCTCTTTAGTTTTTGTATGTAAGCCCTCTCACTTCTTGATTTTGAATTCCATTTAAAATAAACTTCAGTTGATTCCATCTGCGTTCTGAGATTTCTACACCTTACTTCGGCCTACCATCAATAACACGAACATTTAGCAATATTCGTACCTTGTTGATACCTGTAATTACCTATCTGTATCTGAACACTACTGCATCATTGTGATTGTTTATCACTTAAAAGTATTCGTTCAATTCTAAAACCGTTTCTAAGAATCGTAATTTGTTAATTGTACTTCTTAAATATAGCTTACAGATAAAGCAATTTACTTATTAGCGTGATAAGTTTTCATCACATTTTGTACTATACTGCAGGGAGTAAAAATTATTTGACCTAAGAACACTTTAACTATGATTTATTAATGAATTTGATATACTGATTCAATTGTTTATTCCTACGAATTAAGTCATTTCAGGTTATTTTGCACTAATATTTAATTCATTCATGCAGAATTTTTCATTTTAACATCATCTCGGTTGTCTAATTATTCAGTTGTCAATTACCAACTATAATATCTATGTTGTTAGTAAAATAATTGTGTGTATGATGTTCATCGGTTTCATGTTCTAAGTAAAAAGTTGCAAAGTTACTTGTTATCATGACTGCAACTGTTAACTTTAGATGGATAGAGATCAAATATCTATGTACCGCTCCGGTTGATTTCAGACCACTTAAGCTATCCAACCAGTGATTCTGTTCATGTCATGAAATTAAACCAAGAATTCTACACCGAACATGTACCTCTCCTATAATCAATGAACTCATTTACTGATTCAATGTCATTGAATTGCCGCCTATTGATCCTTTCTAACTTACATAATATCGTGTCTTTTTCAGCACTATTATTACGCCGATTCACTGTTATGACCTTGAATCGCTTTTACCCCGCCGATACTTTGCTATGACTTGACTTTGATCTGTCTAGTCTAGATTATGACCTTAACGCGATAGGCTGAGCGGCTTAACCTTGAGTCTAGTACGCGTGAGTTCGAGATGGGGTAGAGAGAGAGAACTATTCTAGAACCTGATTGGTTGGCAAGCACGCAAGTGAGAGAAGACAAGACAGTTGGAACACTGAATTCTCTGAATTCGGATTAGTGCAAAAAATGTACATGAATAGATAAGTGAATATCCTTACCACACGTACGATAATTTGGAAAAATACAATTATGCCCGAAACTGGGAATTAGGGTAGAAAAGAAGATGCAAAATATTATGTTTAAATTACAATATTTTCGGAACAAAAAAGGGTATGGCAGTGAATGTTACATAGAACGAAAGCTCATGTTATCTAGAATAAAATAGGGACAAAAATAAATATAAGTGTTTTACAAGGTTTGAATGAAATGAAATAACGTCCCAAGAAAATAGCTTTCGTAGTTGTCTGAACTTCTTATTTCCCCGTTCACAACATTCACTTGTACACGTTTTTCGGTTGATTTTTTTTTATTAGTTTACTCATTTTATTCATAGTGTTTACTAAAATTTATCAATGATTGGTTGATCATACTCTATTTTGAGTTCCAGTGCTTTGGAACAAAATAGATGAAACCAAATAACAAAAGGCACAAGAAAAAAATAAAACCGAGATAATAGATTATTTAGCCTGTCCATATGAACTCACTGATTTCTAAGTATGTCACTTAACCTACTTAAAAAAAACCCAAACAATGATGGCCACATTTTTCTCACAGAGTTTAGATAAATAGCTAGTCACGTCTAACAATACACATAATGTGTTTGTGAAGTTCCAATGAGTAGAAAATTAAATTTCTAACGTTTTATGATTTGGTGTAAGCCACTTCTTCAAAGAGTAAAATAAATAAACGAATTTAGCACAAATTTAAATAGTGCCATTTTCTATTTATTAAAACGTTAAAAACATTATTTCCATTATTAACAATCTACACCATGTTCAATCTATTTGAAAATATCAAGTCAAATCTTGATAATAATCATTAAATATCTATATTTTTATTAGCGTCTAGAATATTGTGGTTTTATCATCATAAATCTGTTTTTACTCTCAACCTTCAGCTTAGCTATTAACGTGCAAGTGTCACTCATTGACTCAGTTGATCTAACTTTTCTACTCGAACTAATTATTTCCCTTAAATTAACTATCATTCCATCTTGACGAAAAGGATCTTGGGTAGTGCTAGGAGTGATCAGGCAGTTTTCACTTTCCCGTTCCCTACATCATAGAATGCTTTTTCTTATGTCACCTCATATTAGTGGGTTTTAAGTTTGCTACTTGCTATCTATCCTTTCTATTGTTATATTTAACTTACAGATCCTAAAAACTAAAATACAATGTAGTCGTGAATAATGATTACTTTATTTTCCACCATTTCTTCGGAATCACATATACTCTAGTTATTTTTAGCACACACAGAATCAGGATTTACAACATTCATTAGTGAATGTCTCCAATCGTATGATCATGTTTACGGATGGTGGTAGGGTTACTCATGTATTTACTTAAAATGTTCGGTATATTATTAATTGTCTAAAGAACTTTTTTTCTTTCTGCATCTTCCTTTAATTATTCCTAGTGTACAACCTGGCATCTGTTATCATTTATTTCCAAGTTATGTATACAATAATGTTATGTCAGATTTCCTACAACCGGAAATGTTACGTGTCCGTTTAGAAGATGTGATTTTAAGAATAAAAGTAATCAGAGCTATTTTGTATTTTTTCTAATATTTATTCTTCGAAACAATTCCTTTTACATACTGTATACCAACCGATCTCTTCTGTAATCCACATCAGTAAAATCCGAAATGTCCGTTTTGTCTTATTTAGGAACCTTCAGCTGGATGTACGTGGATACTAATTTTGATGTTTATGCTGTGATTTGAACCCAATACATTTCTCTCTGAACTCCAACGCGTTATACACTGAGCTGTGAATTCAAGATCGCTACTAAAGTGTTTTACAAATATAAATGTATTAGTAGTGGTTTTTTATACCCGTTTTTGACTAAATGGGAATAATGAGGCAATTTGCTGAGGATAAAAGTATGCCAATAGAATAATCAAGTCCACTCCTTAATATCAAAAACAGGAAAGCTCAAGCCCCTACATATATGTAGTAATTCGTTGATAAATTCCTTTAATTTCTCATATACAAATGTGTCTTTAACAATCATTCACGTACTGTAAAATCTTAGATCTCTTTTAAAATATCAAATAAACGTCACATGCAACAAATATCCCATGTTGACTCTTAACTGCTAAGGTTCATCTGTGTTTATTGTCTTTTCATATTATGGGGGAAGTATTTCATTTCATTTCCGAAGAAAATGTTAATTTCTCGAGGTCACATTAAATTGCTTAGTTTTCACGAATAAAATTCCTTGCTTAATCTCCATGACTATTGAAGCTGTGTATTTACATAAAACAGTTGGCTAGTGTGGTGAAGCAACTCGTTCAACTATCTCTGTTTGCATCTGTGTTTTAAATAGATCTAATCAATATTTGAGTCAATCTAGTAGTATATACTGACTTCATCAGTTCGCCTGATTAGATTGATCAGCTATATTTATAGTTTAATAAAATTAAATTATTCGATCCAGTAAAATGTAGAATATACTTCTCATTAAATTCCTTAATGCTTAATATTTAACTTGCATGTCGCTATCTCATGATCAATCATAATCGCAACAGATATTAAGCCTTTCCTTAAAAGTAATAATTCCTAGGAATTTTTCCCTTCCACTATTTTCTCTTATTTTCAGATTCTTTTACAAAGTCCAACCAATAAATTAAAAAAATAACAGAGCTTCTTTTTCGTCTTCACCTTTTCTATTTAATAGATCACATCTCTCGGTATTAATTTAAACACTGAATAATAAATGAATGAATATAATTGACCTACATAAAAGAATATCAAACACAAGTATATGTCAACTTTATATAAGTAGACTGCAGTGAACACACGTTCATTTATGAATATATTTATTCGATTTCACTAGTGTACAATTAATAGTGGACTAGTTGAAAAATAGCAACTTGAAAGAAAAAAACACCGACGACATTGATATTATATTCAATCAATCAATAAACTTGTTGCTATTACTATGTATTTATTTTATTATTGTTTCTCAAATTATTTATCCTCATTTTTTTTCACGGAGTTAAACTGTCAATCAGGAACTCATCGACTTTTTCTGTTTTGTTTAGGATTGTATACATTACTTAAAATAATGCATAGCTTGTTTTTAAGCGTCTGTTTGATAATTTTAGAGAGATATTTACGGATGGTTGATCACCGAGTGGTGGTCAATATCATGGCTGTTTAGTCCTTTTAGTGCTGATCGACTTCTGTCCATCCCTTTGAAATGTGTTCACTAATTTAAGTAACTAAACATCGAGTGCACTATAGTGATATGTTATTCAGTTCCTGTTTGTCGATAAGACACCTTGAAACTGGGTTTTGTCCTGGTTAGCACTCATCAGCAATGTTTACCTATAGTCTTGGGGGGCACAAACGATCCTTGTGGGATCTGAACCTCCATCCGCTTTACGAATACCGGTTAGCAAAGAAACCTTGATGGAGAGTTTCTTGTCAGCCACCTATAACCACCCAGTATTTTCCCATGTATTATTAAACATATGGATTGTATTCAGTTGGTACCAAATTTTTGTTGTTAGATTAATGAATTTACACCATTTGTAATTACAATTAGATTACAAGTGATATTCCTTAAAAAACGAGTTGTTACTCCCATTATTAATATGAAATGATGATTGCTACCGAAAATAATAGCTTAGGATCTGTCCTAATAATCTATCGTATTGAATAAACATGCTCTATGAGAATATGATGAAGTTAAAAAGAAAGTAAATAAATGATAAGAAATCATAACGTCAAATAAACATGGTTTAGATTGTTTGGAGATTTACTTGTACCATTATCATAAATGGAAATTAATGTATGCTGTAATTCAATTAGTTATTTGGACTAGTTGTAAATATATTTATTTTATTATGTTTACAATTGAATTCATTTGTTTTGTACGTTCGCCTAATTACTTTTTGTGTGTATGTTTTTTGTTTAGTTGCTAGGCCTTGGTCGTGTAAAGTCTTTCTTAACCAATTGTCTTGATTCTCCTTCTGAAGATGCTATCTCAAAAACTTTAATATTTCTTAGACGAATTCAAGCTCTGAAATTAATCAAATCGGAAACATCGAATTTTAATACATCTCATTCAATAAAATCTCATGAAAAAACTCATAAAGTCAATCGAAAGTCTCTTCGAGAATTTTCAGAAGCTGTTAAAAAGGATGTAAATGCTGTTGGTGTAGATTCTTTGGATTCTAGTTGTATCCATTTAGATTCAACAGATGAAGATGACGATGAGTTAACTCCTCTTGGTGTACACTTGGCCAATTTTCCACTGGATCCACAATGTGCTAAACTCTTAATTTTCGGTGCATTATTTGGTTGTTTAGAACCAATTTTAGCTGTCGCTTCGTGCTTAACATTTCGTGATCCATTTGAAGTACCTTTAGAAAAACAACAAGAGGCTGACCGATGCCGAATAGAATTGTCTCAGAATTCTCTAAGCGACCATTGGGTATTTGCTACAGTTATTCAAGTAAGGTACTATCTTTTTAAAAAAGTATGAATTTTCTACCAGATCATAAATTTACAGACGTTAGTTCTATAACTTTATTCCTAGAATTTCCACTAATTGTGTATATTTTGTGCAAATACAGATTTTCTTGACGAGCAAGAATATTTGACGATGCATACCAATAAATACGAAACTTTATTCCATATCCTTTACCGAATAATTTTGTATACAGTTATATATAATACAGCTTGTATTTAGCTTCAGTTGTCTATTTCAGAAAAGCAAGAGAGTATTCGACCAGAGAGTATAGTGTCCGTTTTTTGATAGTTTGACCTAATTCTAAACAATGAATCTTTCAAATAGTGTTAGTTCATAATCCCATGTGCTTAAACATATTAACACATATATTCTTATCTTTTAAAAATAATCATAAATTCCTTCTGCTTCTTTTTAATTATGATACCTAAGTCACTTTTGAACACTGAATTGCTTCTCTAACATTAGGGAATAACTTTCAAACCTATTTATCATGTCTTCACACCGCCGACTCTCAAAATGAACACACATTTTCTGGAGGTTCTACATGAACTCGTGGATTATTACCAGCATAGAAGAAAACCATATATTAGATAGCCTCTTGGTTTCATGTAAATTGTCTGTCGAAAATGATGTTATAGGCTCACCGAGTCATATATTCTGGTATTCAAATTTTACTGGTTGGATTCTAAATTTTGAAGTTTAGTTAAGCCACGATACATTTCAATAAGCTTCTGAAAGTTCATTTACTAAAGTTATTTTCACTATTTCTGGGTCAAAGTTAGTATATTGAAGTTCAAACAGTAGATGAAGCTAGGTATAAATCGATAAATCCGTGATCGTAAAGCGAATGAGTAAACGACTGACAGCTCGTTATCATTGCAATGAAAATGTCCTATTCACTGAATAATATCTTTTGTGTCGTTTAGTTCTCATCATTTGTTTACAACCTGCAATATTTAGAAATCCAAATTAGAAATAAATCTGATTGGACGTTGTTGTGAGCATACAGCTGAACAATATAGCAAAAATGTAATATGATGTAATATGTAAATGTAATATATGTAATATTTAGATAGTAATAAACAGAACTATGTGTTTGAGAGTGTATTACATCCTGGCTTTCATGTGCTAACCAACCAATACACTATTTATTTGACTTTATGAAGTTTTTTCCTTTTTCATTTTCATATCTAAAATAATGTAAAAATTATATTTAGATGTTATGAAATGTTTTAAAAACTATTCTGGAGTTAAATACTTACAAAGTATTTATATTCATTAATTTCACTTTATTTGCATAAAAAATTCCTAGAGTTATCAAGGACTTAATTCACAAATGGAACGTCATCAATTTTGTCGAAGATATTTTCTTAATGAACGTACTATAAAGGTAATTTAATCAATTCTCTATCACTAACTTTGAAAAATCTTGTTTTTTATTCAAATTAGTTCATTAGAATATATTTTGAATCTCTGCTTTTTTTAAAGCTCAGTTTAGAACACAGCAAGAAAAATCTCATTTAGCGCCGTTCAATAGGTTAAACAACCAAATACCAATAAGAACAGACGACCTAAGTGTTATAACTTGTGACCGCCGATTAGAGAGCAGTGACTTATCGATAGGATCAAAGACGTGCAAAACACGTGCGAGCAGTCTAGAGTTTTGATTGGCCCTTCTTTCCACCTAGCCCAGCCAGTTAAGTCCAGAACACCAATCTCAGCCTCTGAGATATGAATCATTATATTTCAATCATACTGAGTTTATATACCAATCAAACAAACCACAACGTACCAATAAAATATGAAACAACATTTTTACAAGAATTAGCCAGATGTGGCTGTGAATGAGAAAGGCAGTGACTAATAGACAGAGCATAATTCAAGAATGGTAAAACGTATAATAATGGTTCATAAATCAAAATAAAGTTTATAATAAGCGGAATATGAATAGTTTAGTTATTTAACAATTATACGATAAAAATATACGTTTAGTATTGGTCCATAAAAGGATCCCAAAGTTACCATTCATTTTATTTATCGGGACCTAACACTAAGAAAAAAGTGCATCATTTTGAATAAATAAGTGATTGCAAATGAGTCATCTATATTTATGAGTTGAAATGGAAGTCAACGACATTATTGAATGAAAAGCATAAAGTAACCGAGTTTAAAGGCAGCTGAATGGTGAATGTTTCTGGTTCTATCCAATCAATTTTGACCTATACCGCCTAAAAACTCAAACCTTATCCAGACAGTCTTCGATGTCGTGAGATAGTTTCATATCTTGTTTTAAACTCTCACAGTTATTTCAGTTTTGACTATACTGATCAGTGTGGTGTTTCAGAGTAGGTGGTTATCTAAGCATGCATCACAAATAGCACAAACACCCAAGTGCTTGACGTTTGACTTCCTTTACATAGTGATATAACCATACTACTTTTTTATTCTTTTGACCATAAACAAACAACACTCCGAAGACTTTAATAATCAAATGCCGTCAAACTTAACACTTTTTTATACAACCGAAAGACATATTTTGCGAATTTGTATTGTCACAGATCAAACTACTTCCCTCCATACTCACTTATGATAGGTGAACGATATTTCCACACTATATTTGATTTATTCATAACTACTTCATATAATCCGGATAAGTAAATTCTTTGCATTTAGTTTGCTTCAGAAACGAATATGGTTTTAAATCTGTTAATTCGTACTGGGTTTATATGTCAGTAAATATATTATCATATGATAAAATCTTGACTTCATTTCAAGATATCATCATCGGTCGATTGTACGTATGTTATAGCTAATATTTGGAACGAAGTACATTATAATTGTCCAGGTAGAAATGGTGGCATATGTATTGCAAATTTTTTTAGAATCAGGCGCTACATTGACTGACTAAAGTGCATTGTACATTTTAATATATATATATATATATATATATGACCAGTGTACATCAGTTTTATGCTTCAGTTGTACATTTGATAGCCCAATGTGTTGCATCGTCACTACCAACCTATAAATCATTCTACCCATTCAATAATATTTTGCAGATATTGCTGTTGATGTCACACTAAACCCATTCTACTATTTTCGGATTCGGTTAATAAATCTTTTGAGCACATAAAACCAACATCGTAGACTGGTTACTCTATATTCAATGAATATGTATTGATCAATGATTTAAGCACTTCATTTCCATTGAAACATCAAAATGAAAATAAATATAGTTTTGAAATCCACTTTTCATTTCTCCTTTCTTTCATAAAAACAACCTAAGAATTGGTACAACTTATGTAATTCACTACAAATCTTAATTATCTGTATGACTGAATACACACATTAGGTAAAAAATTATCAAAGCTTAAAACTTTGTTTTGTTGTGGAATAATTTTACTTAATTGTTCAAATGCTAATTAGTATTTACTTTTCTTGTTATCTCACATTTTGATCATTCCTTAACTTCTTGCACAATTATAGTGATGGTAACTAACTGAGTGATTAATTTGTACAAATTTCTTTCCAATAAATTCAAATAATCAACTCCAATGATCTCAAATTTGCCTACCTCTTTAATTTTAAAGTACGACATTAAGGATCAAATTTGTCGGTGTCGTATTCCGTAGGCTAGATTATGTAATCGCAAGCCATCCATTGTCATTCTGGACAACATTATCAAAATTTAATTCATTCAGGTGTGAGCTTCTCAGTTTCTCTACAAGCATCAAATTAATTAGCTCTCATGACCTTATTTATGAATGGTTATTTTCATCTCTCTTCTTTTGTTGATGTTTGATCATTTGATTGATTGACCTTGTTTGTATGGGTGGGTAATTTGGACTTAGTCCAACGTGTTTATTGATTGTGGATTGATCTGAATTCAAAGTTCTATGACATTTTTTAGAAACCTGACGTTTTCTTAGTTGGACATTCAATAATATCTATATAGTCGCGTTAACAGATTTAGCTAACTTGTAAATATTGGAATGAATAAACATCAAAATAACAGTAATCATAATTATACCTTGTGTTGTAGAAGGATGAATATAATCGCATTGCTTTATTGACTGAATAATTAGCTGGTAATTAACTTTTAGAAATAGTTCCCAGTTATTTCGTATTCAATTAGTACTGGTAAATTGTTTGCATATACATTTAATGGAATTTTCAGTCTAAAAATGTCATGACACGTAGATGTATTAGAATTATTATTGAAGTTGGATTTTGGAAATAATTTTATAAAATGAACTATAAATAAAACATTTTTGTTAACAAGTAAGATTTTCACATGTCATAAAATGGATATGTATATAATTTGTGTTTCATTGCTTCTCCTAGTTCATAAAAGTCATTTAGAAGTATTATTCTCGAAGAGCTCATATTGTTATGTTTGTGACTTTACTTATATACCTAATAAATGTCTAGTATTCCCATTCAAGTTACAATCCGGTATGTATTACTTCAAATGCTAATATTTTCTATTTTATTGCTAAATTATGGTAACCAATTTCAGAATCTAATCATTTTAGTCTTATGAACTTATCTCCATATTTTTTTTAAAAAAAAATAAAGATTTCTTGCAATTAGTTTTGTACCCAAACATAAATTGTAGCCATTATTTTTTTACTTATTAGTAGTGATCGATTGAACTCAAAAAATAATATTTTTTTCGTACATTCAGGTCATTTATTTTGAACTAAAACTGACTTGATAATGAGATATTGGTACTCTGTGATCTAAGGGATACAAAGTATATAAAATTTAATCTTTTCACTAACACATTACACTTTTTATGATTTTTATCAAGCAGGGTATTGTTTAATTGGTTTATTGATTAGAGGTTTGCTTTTTTTTGGAATAATCTAAAACCAGCTGTTCAAAATATAATACCATTCGATGTGTAAAAGGCAACACTGATTCCATCACATTGTAAAAATAATTGAGATTTTTGTCTATATACATATATATATGAGCTGTGAAACTAATTAATTTTTTATCTACCTTTTTATTTCCATAAAATTCAATGATATACAATCAAATAGAAACGACTCACATTCTTTCCTAATGAATTGATTTTATGCTTATTAGTCTGTAAAAATTATTGATGTTCTCATGCTATTTTTCATGATATACTTCATGTGATCTCACTTCATAAATACATATATATGTGTATTTAATTTTTTTTGTTTGTTTGTTGATAAATGCAAATTACATTTCTGTCATTGTTTTTACTTATACATTCTCACCGATCAATGAAGTATCTTCGTGTATTTTTGTTTTCACATCTATTATTCTAACTTTTTCATAGGATATTATTCGACTTATGAATGACTATTCACAACTGTTATATGAACGAAGGTATATTGCTACTCCAAAACCTAATGATTCGAATGCAAACTGTAATCAATGTAAGTTGCTTTTCCTTTCAAAAAATTTTTTACTGTACTTAGAGAGCATTTCAAACGACTTGTTAATTGTTATATTAGCATACTGACTCAAACGATCTATGGTCTTTCACCGTGGCAAAGAACTAAGAATATTGGATTCTATTACGTATTTGTGTGTTTGTAAGAGTGGAATGGTATGAGTGGTCATTGTTTTTTTACTATTTCACAATCCATTTATAACAAATAATGATAATCCGATCTATTTTAATACATAATTCCATAATCACGAAATTCATCAATGAAATTTAATCCATATTGTTTGATATATGCATATTTTTATGTACTGCATTCTTACTAAATGAAATATTTGTTTTTTTTTATTACCTAATAAATTATTATACATAAGACTTATTTTAAATCACACCATATGATGTTAATCAAAGTACAAAAAGTGATCCATATTGTCTCTCTCAAATACATTTTCAAAATCTATACGTCATCTATAATTTCGTTTTTTTTCTAAATTTTAACTAATTAGTTTTTCTCATATTTGAAGAGCATTTGTTGATGGAAAATAGTCATTAAAAGTTTACTTTAATGTTGTATGAAAGTGTTCACTCGAAGTTAGTAGCAGTATCTAATTTATATAAGTTAAATTATTCTTTCGAATCACAATTATCTTTGATAGTAATTATTATGAATTTGAAATAATCAAGAATATTCTCGGCTCAGTTGGTTACTTTTGGTGTTTTTTAGTTTTCTGGGCTACCAGGACTCAGTAGCTAAGTGGATAACGCGATAGCGTTTGAAGCGAACAGTACTCTGTCCGAGTCCCGAAGTGAAAATCAGCTCTGGGATGTAGGTACATCCAGTTGAAAAGTCTAAAATAGGACGAAACCTGCATTGTGAATCCCATTGCTAGCCACCATGCATCTTTGCGCACAAATTATTTACTTAGAAATAAACTTAATATCAAAGATTTTCATCCTACTATACAATTTTATCTCTCCGAAAACTAATCAATATTATGATGTGCTAAAAAAATTCAAACCATTTTTTTGTCTGTCCTAATAAAAAAAGGTTTTAGAGTTTCTATTCTCTTGTCAAATTCTTACTTTTCTTCACTGAAAATCGGTAAATCATGTAATGGCCTCGTTGTCTGTTTAAATTTGTAAGTTGCTGATTTGTTGTTTTACAAGGCTATAAATGAACTCTGCATACTAAACAGTTATATCTTCCTTTGAATTTTGTATAAGACAAAATCCCTATCGCAATCAAATCGTCTTTCCTTTTCTCATATATTTTAGGTTTTCTAGCAAATACAATTAAACCATGTTGATTGTATAACAGTGACATCGATTAGACGCCCATAATTCGTAGTATCTAAGTGTTTACTTAACGGAGCGTAACTCCTCAAACCACAAACTATTTTGGCATTGACTATAAAGGATCGAAATTATCCTGTTTTTGATATTCTTAGTTGAATTATGACCAGTCTTTATTGATAGATGAGCATCCATTCATCCTATAAATGTTTTTGACAAAATGGTTATATCAGTGCACTCTGCACAGAATGAGTCAAAATGTTAATTACTCGATAATTAAAATCCTTTCTAATAACTATAAATTTCATACCTGTTGTAGAAGTGAGTGGCTATCTGGACTCAATAACTCAGGGGATGATGCGTTCATCTTTTAGAGAAATAGACACTGTGTGCGAATCCATGCGTTGATGTCTACAATAAAATGCAATTATATGTGGCTATGAAGTCCCAACTAGGGGGTAATGAGCGTCCTGGCTTTCTCTATTGTCCATAACCCATCAGTTCTATGGAAATCTATTACTAATCGTTTCTATTTCTTAATCTTCATTTGATTAACTTCAGTATCATACCGTACCCTATTGTGTGGTGGTGATGATAATTAATCAATCTCCTATTACTCACTTTTTTGCGTGTCGAAATCTGTAAAAAAAAATTAAGAACCAAATTACACTAGACAAACATATTTTTGTTCGTTAATCATCTCTGCTCACCCTAGATCCCTGTAATACATCATATGTATTCATTTTCGTGGAATACAGAATGGAGTTTTTTTATCGAATATTAAATGTTTTTAAACTCATTCCTCCTGTCCAGATAACTAGTACAACGGTGGCTGTTTACGTAATGAAAATATGTAGATCGGTAATATTCTTGCACTGTATACCTTAGATTCTTATAACTTCAGTAGATGGATAATCAAATATGTCTGAAAATACTTTAAAAGTTTAAATAGAATTCACAATATGGACAGTTGTTGAGTGAATAATGTCCTCCAATTTCAATGTTCTCTCAAATATTTTGGTCACCTGTTTTTTTAATGTATACAAATATTGCAAATGGCCTACCCATTCTTAACTACTATAAATTAAGTTACTACGAATGCCAATTGTATTAAATCATCTACAATAAGTTATTGTGATATTAAATACTAGAATACAGTTCTAGGCACATTTCCCTTTTTATCTAAGCTTTGAAAAGAAGATTGAAAGATAAATGTATTTGGATTCAAACACCTTAAATTAGTTATAGCAGCTGAACTGGTAGAAAATTTTAATGATTTAATACATGATATTGACTGTTAAAAACATTTTAAAAGTATTTTTTGAACAATTACAATTTTATAAATGAAGATTATGAAGATTATTAGAAGCATATTAAAACAAAACAATTTATTACATTATAATAATGTTTCGAATGAAATGCCATGGATTGGTACTGTAGTTCTACCATACCGTCATGGCACAACAGAAGAAATTCAAAGAATCTTAAAACACCACAGAATTAAAGTGTATTACAAAACAACGAACACTACGTAATACTTTAGTTCGCCTGGAAGAAAAAATTCCTTTCATGTCCACACAGAACTGCGTCTACAAATTAGGTTGTATCGATTGTGATGCCTATTATATTGGAGAGTCATCCCGCGAAATCGTGACTAGAGCCAAAGAACATATTAGGTACACAAAGAAACCTCCTAACAATCCGGTAGAATTGAACCAACTTCAAATTAAATCGGCAATAGCAGTTCATGCCATTTTCAACAACCACCAAATCGATATAATTTATGCTAAAGAGATATTTATTTCAGTATTGCATAATGATTTTTGAGAATTCTTGGTTGTGACATAATTTAGATTATGGAACTAGGTTATTTTTCGATTATTATTATTATTATTATTATTATTATTATTATTATTATTATTACAGATTGTTTTCATTTCATGTTTAAATGATTTGTGTCCATTAACTGATAATTTTTTGACCTAAATTTTTGTCTAATCTTTCATTTCATGCCAACATGTTTGTTGTAATCGATAAAAGAAACAAAAACATGATTTTCAATAAAATTGAAGTAATATATGAGACATGTTTAAAGTATCATCAAGTTACTAAAGTTGTTGCAGAGGGATCGTGTATCATTTCATGTGCAATTGCCATATAATGAGCAAAATGTAGGCCTGACATTCAGATCTTTATTGATTAAGGAGTGAGTGGCCTACAAACTAAATTCAATTACTTATGAGATTGTATCATAATGATATTTTGTATATAAGTGCGCCATTTGATTACAGAAAATGCATATTCTCCAAGTTAGTGGTCTTGTTCTTGATTTTAAACTATCCAAAGACTTAAGTCAAGTATTCTATCTACAACAGCCATGATTCGGCATGTTCTTCTTGTGTTTACTTTTAATTGCTGTTGCAAAATATTTGACTCGTCAAGTGAAACTAATCACAGTAGTAATATATCATAGTTAAACATAATTGTTTCCCAAATGGTACGTAGTAACATCTTTCCTCTTGTTTTTTAAATTACTATTTATGCGTTACATAACTATCTTTGTTTCCTTTTTGATGAAACAGGGAATATCAATCTTTTCCGAGCAATAATGTGTGCAGCATTATATCCAAATATTGTAAAAGTGGATCCAAGATTTACGTAAGTTTTACTATTATTCTCAGTATTATTTGTCAGTCCTCTTAATAACAGTCTCAGATTATTGTAACGAATTCACCATGTTGAACGATAGAAATTAATATAGTTGTCAGTTTCATTTGAATAGAATAGTCAACAGTTAAATTCATTCGAACTACAATCAACATTTAATGAAAAGAAATCCTTAATCCAATACCATTGTTTCCTACTTTGCTTTATACATTCATCATTAGTCTTCAAGTTAATTCAAAGTAATAATTATCTGAAATTTTCAACTAATTGACGTACTGACTTCTTTTTAAATTTATCTTTTTGTTCGTTAATTAGAGTGTAAAATAATTTTCTTTTGCATAGTTTATTTCTTAGTAAAAAATAATAGAAAGTAGTATTCAGTTGTTTGTAACTATGATCTATATCTTTAAGTTGTGTAGGATTAATTGACTTGTACACTTATATATCGACTTATTTTTAAGATTATATTGTATAATAAATGACCAGTATTATGACACCGAGTAATATTTAATCAAACAACTTTCAACTATTGTATCACATGGTTAAATTTTTCTATCTATCGGGACTTCCAGACTCACTTTTGTATATAATCATTCTTTCATTGTTGTCTTTGTTGACTATATCATACATTTTTCTTAAACTTTAATGGTTTTCTGAACACTAGTTTAAATTAATCAATAGTTTTTGTAATAAAATTATAATCCTATAAATATTAATTTATTTCGTTTTTTTGTTATGTACTTCTTCGACATATCCAATTTGCCGTTTACTGTTAAGAAACTTCCTGTTAATCTCCAAACTCATAGATTAGTTATTTAAGTAGTAACGGAGGCCTTTAATCTTAGAAATATAATGTTATTGATCTGTGTTTTATTTACTATCCTGGCGAATGTCTTTTCTGCATATACTACCGAAAATAATCTCAGTAAATTTGTGTTTCTGTTAATATACAATTGGTATTTGTGAGTTTGGGTTGAAAGTTCTAGATAAATAAGATGACTTAATCAATTATCGGAATTCGTAGAATTGTCGCCTTGATACACAGTTTCAGTAGGAATAGTGGAGCGTGGAAACAGTACAATGAATTCACTATTTGTTGCTAAACTATTCAATGATTAACTAGTGTTTTGATGTGTAACTTATTCTTCAGCTTCCCTAACATTGAAGTCAGTCAGTCAGTCAACTAAAACGTAGGACCAGGCACATTGAAAGTTGACAGTGGAAGATATTGCACCTTATCTTAATTTATATCCACATTTTATCATACTCAACACTTTAAACAAGTTTACTTCATCTTTCCAATTGTCTTTTTGATAAATTTATCCCTTCTGTTGTTTTTTTTATCGCATTTTTGTAAAACTAGAGACATGGTTTGCACAATATCTCGTTACGTTGTTATTGTTGTACTACTTTTTAGATATTCCACATTTAATGTTTACTTCCATTCCATAATTAATTAGAAATGTATAAAATAATTATGTCTACAATTCAATGTGTTTTTCATTACTGAAATGTTTTTTAATCGTCGTACTTTAAAGACTTACTTTTTATATATAGGTTGTATTAATATTTTTATTTATTTGTAATAATTTAGTAAAGAAGGCAAACCTAAAGTACCAGTTATTATGGCTTGTCCATCTGAGGGTAGAGCAAATATTCATCCATCGTCAGTAAATAGTAAAATTCAACCAACTGAGCCTATATGGATGGTTTATTTTACAAAAACTAAGCTTGAATCAGGATCTGTAAGTTTAACCTTTTCTTTGAAAAAAAACTGCATGATTTAATTAGTTGTATTAACTGATACTTTTCTCTGCAATCATACCATATACATGATTTAAGCTATACAATCAGATATCATTTTGACAACTATTTCGTAATTTTTATAATCGATGACATTATATAATTATTATTGTGGATGGTAAATTGTAGGCTACCTTTCATCTTTTTAAAAATATCCTTTCGGAAAGCAGTAATTCATAGATTACTAAATGAATATATTTTTTGTTATCTCATATGCTATTTCAATTTGCATTAATAATGTCTTAAGCTGAAATCATCTCTCATAACAATTATTATAATATATAATACTTACATTTAAGTCACTGACATTTTCAGCGTCATTTGACCTGTGACGTAATCTGTTTGACTTGGTGACTAAAATACTTGACTTTTAGTCATTGTTTTATAAGCTTAACGTACTTTTGTTTTAATTCGCTTTTGGTAATCAGAAAGTGTCACAAACCCTCAGAACTAAATTTTGATTCAAGAATCCATAGATGAATTTGTACTTAGTTACTGATTTGTATGAATTTAAAATTAAAGCGTCAAGAATCAACGGATTATGATCATTACATTCAGTGTTTATAAGCTGTTTCCGTAAAGTTTCTAAAAAGTTCTTTTCCCAGTCAATCTATGATAAATCGGGAGAGATTAATGAGCAGTAAAATTTTATTTGACTCGTTTCTTGTAGAAAGGTTAGTATTTGACTTTACATGAGTTAAACTTAATTATTTGAATGGGTTTTACCTGCTGGAAACAGTGAGTTTTTAAATACTCTTATTTTCAATGATCACACAATATATTTTGATATTTCGTAGTACTGCAGTGCTGTATAAAGCATATGTCTTAATTATTTTGTCTAGTTTATAATCTGTTTTTGAAACGTGATACCTAGAAAATTGTCTTAACAACTCCAATAGGCAGAACCTTATTAGTTTCTGTCACTTTTGCTATACATGTAAGCGTTTCGGTAAGAACAATTAAATGCTAACCTTTAAATTCAGTTTCATTCTGTCATTCTGTCTGTTACACCGAAAATTAACCCAATTCAACAATTACATACTAGGTTGTGAATCGCATCTGATTTACGAAGGCTTATGGAATATGTTTGAATTTATCATCCATTGCCTGATAACTCCGAGTTCTAATTGGTTACTACATATTATTTCATGTAGTAATTTTCAAAAACTACAATCACGATGTATTTTGGATATCCCAATGAGCACAAATTAGAATTGCTAACCTTTCGCAACTGCTTCAGAGAGTGGGCAAACAAATAACTGCACTAAATTAACACACTTTTGAGTCATCTAGCCTAAAGAATGAAACTTCACCCACCTGAGCCACAAACCTTTTCCACCCCAAATCAGCACAAAATCAGATAGTAGAGATAAATAATGCAGAATATGTTGTTAAACGAGATCCTAATGGAAATTTAAGTTTAACTACTCACCGAAAACCAGGACATTTAACTGTGCACATCCATTCAGTGCAGAGAATTTTCATGGCTCTAAATCTATTTAGAAGAGCTACCAAGATCATTAACTCAGAAGGTAAATTAATGGGACAAAATACCATACTAAACATCTTACGATTTAACGATTTTCCTAAGAATCCTATTAAAAACGTATGAAAATAAACGATTTATCTTTAAATAACAATTCAAATGAAATATCATGTATTGGTACGGTAGTTTTACCCTACCACCATGGTACGACGGAAGAATTTCAATGTATCGTCCATAAAACAACTAACACTTCAAAATCCTATCATTCAAATAAAGGAAGAGATCTCTTTTACTTTACACAAATTGTATCGACTGTGATGTTTTATATATTAGGAAGTATTCTCTTGAAATCCTGACTCCAGCCTTAAAAACATCTAAGCTAACTAAAAATACTTAGTTATCGTGTACAATTTGATAAGCTTCGAATAAAATCAGCAATAGCAGTGGTTGTCATCTTCAGTGACCATAAAATAAATACAAAAGACACCGAAATAATTCAAAAAAGCTTTTCCAACGATATAGGTAGGTGAGTAGCTCTTGATGGAAAAAGGACGTGATGATCATCCAACTCGGACCGTTTGTCCAAACAACTACACTTAATTTTATTAATTTCTGACTCTTTTAATACACACATACATACACAAATTTCACATTGTTCACACCCACCAGCGTATACACAAATATACACTGTAATGTCCCTCACACATCTTGACCGGATAACAAAACATCGATATAATCAAACCTATTTTATTTTGATTAGATTTGACATTCTATCCTGGTTCCGTTTACTATTTAAACCTGTATTAATTTAATTCAGTTATTGATTTACTTTCTCGAGAAACGACTTAAACTAAATAGTTGTGAGACGTTAGAAATTCTTATTTCTACTCATTAGGATACCACGTATAAATCATGATTTTTATTAATAACATTCTATCAAATCCTCAATTTATTTAAAATTATGAAGTCAAATTTTGGTGTTAAAAAGGTCGTATAAAATGGAAATGAAATAATTATGTTAATTAACTAGAAGCCAACTTGTTATGCTCAAATAACTGATTATGATTAAACTACTATTGTGATCCTAATTTAAACGTAGCTTTTTAGTTAATAGATATTGTCACGTACACAAGTTTATACGTATAACTTTCATTTTATTGCTGCTGTGTAATAGACTATTTTTGCTTCATTATCTTAATCTTATTTCCTTTGTAGTTAGCTATGAGGTTTAAATCCCTAAATGTTATTTCCTAAATAACTTAAACAATTTTTAATACTATATAAAATTAAGTTATTTATGCAAAACATTCTATTATTTGTTAAATCTTATTAAAGTTTGTATCTAAATTGACCGCCACCAGATAAACATAGTAGACAAACCCAACTATCATATTGTAATGAACGAGAACAATGGCGCGGACAACCAAACGTATTTCAACACAACATTACAGAATGTCGTGGTAAAATCTGAGAACCATACAGTAATACTTCATTTGCAAAATATCCATCAGTTTTCTCAGACTTTGTTGTTCCTTCGTTTCCATACCACTCACTCTCTGTTCTCGTTTCCTCTTCAATTTTCTCAACCTCCTACCGCCGTGCATTCCACTTTCGATTGTTGATATATACTACTTATATCTGTCGACGTCAGTAGCACACACCACAACATAACTTTACTTTGCACGACATTGCTTGGTTTTTGTCGACTATAATCAGAGTAATGAAATAAGCAAAGCGATTTCCGGTGAAAAAAAGTGTAGTAGAAAATGTAAACAGTGATTGAGGAGGTTCTATATGTTTATAGTTTGATCGGAACTACTGACAAACTGGGACTAATGTTGTCCAAGACATCAGTTGTCTTATGTCTAATAATATCTGTTACACACTTCTTTGAGTAAACTTCCAAATACTTAACACCAGAAATTGTACTTTTTAGCGCTTGATTCTTGCTCGCTGTTTTAATCACTAAATAATTGAATGTTCTCCTAGGGGCTAGAAACAAGTTTATTTAAAACAGTTCAATAATATATCTAGATCTCATACTTCAAATAACATCCAAAACCTATTTTATTTCATTTGTATTTTTCCATTACTTATCAACTAGAAGAAGTTATTTATATATTTCTTCAAGAGTGAGAAAATGATGCTTGCATGTCTAAAATTAACTTTTCCATTCTATCATAAATTTCATTTAGTCAGGTTCTAAAGTAGTCTAATCTTCATTATACATTTAGGTCAATTAATTTAGGGCGTGACCGATGCTGAAATCATGTATACTTTTGTTTCATTATATTACGGATATGTAATCAATTTATGCAAGGTGTTAAATTCAGTATTAAGAATTTTTCAACGAAACCATCTTCGTTTTCATGTGAGCATCGTATCTAATTGGTTATTAACTACAAAACTTGGCACTTCATCTCATTTAATATTTTATGCTTTAGCTTACAGTGGTTCTTTTCATATTTCTTCAATCTCATTACATTTATTCGGATCGCTATTCCACCATAATGATGTATATCTAATTTTACTGCCATAAATATGTAAACTTTACAACAATTTTGATTTTGGATTATTGTAAGTTGTAATCAGCTGATGTGAACCTAACGGGATAAAATGAATTCATGTTATTCTACTCAATTCATTGTTTTTTCTCTCTTCAATGAAATTTAAATGAACATTGTAATGAAGAAGAGACACTTCTACCATTTCACATGTCATTAGACAGTTAAACACTAATCAAACTTAAAACAATCCACAAAAATACATCCGTTTTATCCTTATCAGCACTATTTTGAATTATTTTGAACTGTGTAATCTAGAAGTTAAAACTATTGAGTTTTTTGTAAGCAAAACTCATACCTTAGTATTCAGTGATTCTCAATTACCACTTCATACTTGATTGTGTCTAAATTTCTACTTACTTCTTCTTTACGGTAAATGGTGGCTTGGTGATATATACAACACTATTGTGTGTACGTTCTCAGTAAATGATGATTTTCATACAGCATTAATTTCCATACTCTATGACAGAAAAATAGATCACATTGTAATTAATGTCATCACTAATATTGTTTGCCTAGAATATAATCAAATGATTTTTCTTTGAATTAATTAATCTATAGTCATCACCCTATCATCCCAACAAAACTTAGATATAAAAATCGCTGAGCATTTTTGAATTATTGCTTTTCTCTGTAACGATGATAATAATAATAAATAATAGAAAATAAAGTAATAACTACTTTTAATCTTTTGATTTTATTGATTTGTTTTCTAGTATCCATCCATATTCGACTCAACTGTCATATCACTGAGACCTTTGTTATTTTTCAGCGGTAATATAGAAGTATCAAAGGTTAGTGCTTTATATACTGTTAAGCATACCATTACTATCATTATTTGAGGTGAACTAATTATTTATTTCTTAATTATAACTATGAAAAATCTAAATTTTCCAGCATAATACATTACTTTTAAATTACAACAGAAATTCTGTTATATTTTTCTTTGTAAATAACAGATTGTTAGATTATGTAGAAGCTGAAAATGTGTAATGATGAATTTTTAAAGTAGTTTTACCTAAACTATACTAAATTCAGAAGATAAAATTAATAACGCTTAAATTAGACGATTTGCAAAAGATTATTTGAAATCACAATTTAATAGTCTACAAATGTTTCTTTCTTGTTTTGTTTCGCATTTATTCATAAATATCAACCTTTTATTAAAAATTACTAATAATTATTACCAGTTTTATATGTCAGGCTTTAGTTGAAAAATCAAATCTCTAAGACTAAGATTCGTAGTATGTTAATCAATATGTTGTTGTAAATAATCCTTAGAATATCTCAAGAGTTTTTAAAAGTCTACAAATTGAAACTTTTCACAATGACTTACAATATTCAAATAACGTGCTACACACAGAACATTCCCATTTTCTACTTTCATTGTCCTCGAATTATGTTAGTTATGAGTACCACTAAGATACGCAAAACCTAGTGTGTTGGAAATTTGCTCCATTTGTCCAAACACTATCCTATTCAAGTATGAATCAGCTATATATTTTTCAGTGTTTTATGCTCAAATTCTTACTCCCGAATACTGTTATAAATGTTGCAGATTAACCTGTGTTGTTTTTGGCTTTCACTCAACAGAAATCGAACCTGTCCTCAAGACAGTTATACATTTTATCGCTTGCTGTAATCAAGAAATTCAATATAAAACATATGAAACAGAGTATTGATCTGCTTATGTAGCTGGTTGAACTGTCTAATTTAGCTTTGATTGTTTGACTGACGTTTATGTACTACTGACCGAGTTATGGGATCCAACTGTTAACCACCAGTTGCTTCGACTGTCGAGAGTTCTCTATAACTAATTCGGTACTCTACTAAGTACACTTCATAATGATAGCGTCCGAGTCAGGCTTTTAGGTTCGGATTTGAATCAGATTAATGACTGATTTTATCAATTAACAAAGCATACAAATATATATTTTGCATCTCATATTGTTTTAAAGGATTTTGTATTCGTATTTCTCTCATATTTGTGGTAAACATCTCAAAATAGTTAGTGGATCTTTTCATAGTTCATTTAATCTGTATGGTTTGTGACTAACAGATTGCAGTTATCATACTTTAGAAGCACTTCTACAATACTTTACTGTTAATGAAAATAAAATAATAAATACATTTTCTTCTTTGGCGCAAGTGATGATTATTTCAGTTATGATGTATGGTACTCGTCCATACAAGAAAGTACTTATAAGGATTTCGTTGCCGGTTTACTGGAATAGAAATCTAAATCTTTACTTGGCATGATACTTTTGAAATGATGAATTATTTTATATTACACGATCAAAAAATATGGACAAGAATAACTGAATGTAAGCTCTATGATTCTTGATAAAAAAAAAGAAAAGTCATATCTCCTTAGAACCTTATCATTCAAATAACAACACGGATGTTTGGTCGTAGCATTGAGTAATGCAATTTTAGATCTATCCTTGTTTTGAGTTATAAATATTCTTTGCTAATGAATTCTAGCATGTACTGTGACCAAATCTGAATATTTCTATCAGATACCGCTAACGATTCAGTATCAAATGCAATATCCAGTTATTTAGTTCACTAACAACATTTTAAAGTTAACTGGTGAAACTGTTAGCACTAAGTAGGCATAGTCTGTTATACGAATAATCACTTTTTAGTGTCAGAACCTATTATTTTTCTTTGTTTGACAATGCATAAAATTATTTTATGTAGTATGCGTCAGCAAAAGGTAATAAAATGTTCCTCTACTTTTATAGAATGATACAAGTCTTTTCACCATTGATCAATGGATTAAATTCAGCGGGGAGTTAAAAGTAGTCAATTTATTGAAAGTTAGTTCCAAATTGATTGAAACTATCCTTTCCTATTGACTGATTTTTTAATTAATGTGTATTTACATACATTAATTTTACATATAAACCCTCCAGTTCATGTCAAGTAAGGTTCACTGTTACGTAAAGTTACACTTTACTGTGTCAACAGTGGTCCAATCACTCTTGAGCGCAACACAATATATCATTTCATACTTTTCGGTGACTGATTAATTTGATAAATTATACATTCTAGGAACCTATTATTTCTCAAATCTTTTGAATAAATACTAATGCCATTTCTATGCTTAGTGTTTGATTAATATCCTTGGATATTTTTCAAAACTAGCATCGTGACTAAAACAGAATACAAAAACAACTATGGTTGCAATAATAATTCATGTACTCTGTCATACACCCACAGCAAGTAAAAGTGTAAACTTTCCAATTTAATCTGGAAATCAGGCTATTTTATCTTCATAGAAATGAATTCATACTAGGAAATGATAAAAGCACTGTAGCATAATTTCTGACTATGGTTCAACTTGTCATTTTGTAGGGAGTAAGTTTTTATAATACGTGTGGTGTTACCGTACGGGAGACAGCTCAGTGATGACGTCCCAAACTGTGAAGCTGAGTGACGCGGGTTCAAATCCCCCGAAGCACATCATTTTCCCATCAATTACTGGTGTACGTTGCTGATAAATACTAATCAACAAGAAACCTACATCCAGAGTTGCTTGCTGCCGATCCTCAACCATACAAAAGGATTTTCTAGTATAACATTTTTAATTAATGACTACCTAATGAAGAAATGCTTTAAAATGAATGAGATGAAATATTTTTTTTTAAATGCAGTAGAAGAATATAGATCACACATTTTTTAGTGAAATATCATTGTTATTGTATTCTAGTATACTTATATATGAAAAAGTTTATTGATAATTGTACTATATAGCATAGTGAGAAGAAAAATTATCGGTATTTCCCAAGAGTCCTGTCTGGAAAATATTGAACTTTGTTTCTGAAATACGCTTTCCGTTTATTTATCCTGAAAAGAAGTCTGAAGATTTAGCTAAATATCCAATATGTTTTGATATCTGTAAAGTAGTATCTATTCTTTGATCAAAATAATAGTGCTCACTAGCGATTAATTTCAAGAAGTTTTAATGAAAAGTTGTGTCTGGGCGATTTAAATCTTGTTGGGAGTGAGATAGATATCGCCATTAGTACTCCCAGTAAACATAAGCGTTTGACTGAAAACGTAAGAAAATAAATTTAAGTTGCCTTACATAACTTTGTCAAAGTCCATGGATCAAACACTAGACTACACTGGTTGAAATCAGTTTAGGAGCATGTGTTTTCTCATGATGTAAATATACTTTGAGCTTTAAAAATCTCGATTCGCTGATGTGATTATTCCTTTTTTAATGAATTTCTACCCTCTTAGTTTTCTAGTTTTAAAACCACATTCCAAGTCGATTTTTATCGGTGCTTCATATACTGCGTGCATTGGCACAAAGTTAGGTCTACCTACCTACCTTAGCTACTGACCATAGTTGTGATTCCTATCCTTTTTGGATGTTCTATTATAATATTAATATGTATGACATTTTTTACAACTGTAGATCGAAGCAAAATATCTCTAGAGTTATAAGTCGCTGAAGTAATTGGTTTTCATGATCCAGTCATATTTTTATTAACAGAATATTACCTACTGTTTTTTTTAACATATCGACGACCAAAACTCTCTATTGAGATTCGTTTTCACATATATCAACCAATGCTGTACCAAATTAATGTCAACATTCCTAATCAGTCAACTTCGTGTTGGTTGAAGTCTTTCGGTTGGATTCCTGAATGGTTCAGCAACTAGTACATATTTTTTGGTGTTGCGTTGTTTGGAATCAAGGAAACATGTTCTGTTTTCTTAGCAAACATTGAACAACATAAACGCACTAAAGAGAATGAAGACTTTTCAGCAAAGGAGAGTTTCTTTATGGCAATATCATTCCCTTAGACTGTGTAATTGTATTTATAGGTAATTGGTTACATTTAGTAGCCTGTAGTAAAACATAAGAGTTATGAAATTATCCATAGTCAAATTTACTCAACTATCGAATGTAAAAGTCTACAAAACCGATGTGGTTTTACATCACTTAATAAAATCAAAGATTATCAAACCATTCCAAGCATCGAATGTGATAATCTATAAGTTGATGTTATTTCAAAGTAATTAAAGTCATCAAAAGTTTGCAAGTATTGATAAACAAACACATATAACCTCACAATATTATTTCAGTTCCTAATGGATACTCCCTCTTATAGGAAGCAGATGACAATTCTTTATCAATTATTTTTTAGTCGCATTTTTTATATGCATTCATTTCGAAATTTCTTTTAGGATTTACGGAAATGCATGGATGGACTGTTGGAACAGAAGTTTAAAAGTCCTAGCGTGGTTAACTGGGATAGAACAAATAAGGAAGGACGACTCCTTCAAACTATTGTGGATCTATTAACAAGTGAACCCCCGCCAGCTGTTCAAGTTGAGAAATTAAACTTAAAAACATTCTCCCTAGGCATCCATAAATAGTTATTCGCACCACTGATAACCCTGTAGATATATGTTTTAACAATTCTGTTTGTTAATGACTTAAAATAAATCTTGTCTATCAAGAAAAGTAACTTTTCGATCCGTTAATTTGTGCATTGTGGGTTCGATTACTTAACATTGAACAGGCTTATGTATTTTTGCACAGAGAACTAATATTGATACCCTATGTCCAGAAAACTTCCAAAATCAAACAAGTTATCATCGCGTGCAAGAGAAAAGTTGTTTATTTATGACCCGTGTAAATTCTTCTACAGTCGTAAATCCAAAAATCTACCACATGAATCAAATCACTGTATGTTAAGAAGCGGAAAGGAAAGGGTTCTTATAGTCAGTAAGTAAATGAACAAGAGTAGCATCCATTAACACAGTATTCAGTTAAAAAAATTCGCTCAAGAGATATTTTACTAGAATAGTAAACTTTCAAATTTCATACTAATCGTCTTCTATCTTCAGTGTTGTGGTGATACGAATGGTATCTGTGTTTGTTGGCCCAATGTGTTGAAAGTGATCATAGGTGTAAAGTCGGTCTGATAATCTGCCATTCCCAGAATACACATACGTCTTCGGGTAAATCAATGGCCTGAAATATCGTCGCATACATGAGGCTCTGTCATATTGTGACGACCCTAACCTATCTGATAATCTAGAACAACATATATAAGCGAACAATATTGTTTTCGATTAGATCCTCATCAGGCTTTACTCTAATATACAGTAATATTTATATGCATATACGAAATTATTAAACCAATCAAGGTAGTTTATAAGTCAATGATAACAATGAAAACTATTACATAATAAGTGAAACGTGAAAAGTACAAATTGATGGTGTGACAACAGGTGCATTAGTTTTGATAAGAATAATAAAGGCTCAAATCAATGTTACATAATCGGAAATAGGTCAATGATTAGAAAAATATAAACAGTGAGATAACAATAATAAGATGACGTAATAAGAAATTTTCAGATAATTGGACCATGAAACGTATAGTTGAAAGAAAATAAAGTGGTAGGAGGGGGTGAAGAAAAATAACAGACGAAGAGAAAGTTGGAAAAAGAATAAATAAATTCACTAATAAGGGCTAGACAAGCACGACATTGATCACCACCCACCCAGTGATCAATCAATTGTGATTACATCTCAGTCCTACAGGAGGTTAGTCACGGCTCGGATAGCTCAGTGGTAACGTCTGGGTGACACGAGGTCGAGTCCGCCAGGGAGCACCAGTTCCCTCAAGATTACAGGTACACCTTGCTGACGAGTGCCAAGTAGAACGAAACCCGGGTCCAGGGTTTCCTGTTGACTACCTCCAACTACCATCTAAATAAATTCACTTATTATCAGAAGGGGTTTGTGGAGATTTTAGAAATTTTCATAGATTGAAATCATGAATCAGTTGAAGCTAGACTACCATGGAAAACCTGGGAGCCCTGGACGGCGGTTTCGTCCTAGTACGGGACTCCCAAGCAGTGCGCATCCACGATCCCACACCCCACGGGATTCGAACCCAGGACCTACTGGCTTCGCGCGCGAGCACTTAACGATTAGGCCACTGAGCCGGTATCCAGTGGTGTTAATGTCTAACTTCAACCAATCCACCAAGTTGCGCCACCATATACCATTGTCTTCAGTGAGCTGATATCTCAGAACAGACCTGATTGAATTCCACTGGTAACGGCTTCCCACAAGAAATCCAAGAGTATCTCTTGAAGTCAGTCACTAGTGAGCAGATGATTATTATCAGAAGGGGTCTAATGGTTAAGTGCTCGCGTGCGAAGCTAGTAGGTCCTGGGTTCGAATCCCGTGGGGTGCGGGACCGTGGATGCGCCCTGCTGAGGAGTCCCCTACTAGGACGAAACGGCCGTCCAGCGCTTCCAGGTTTTCCATGGTGGTCTAGCTTCAACTGACTCATGATTTCAATCTGTGAAAAATTCATTTATTACTTAAGGCCAAGGGAGAGATAAGGGTGTTACAAATTTCTTCTGAACCCAAAGACTTGGCTTGTTGGCTCGGATTCCTATAGCTTCTGCTATGTGTAAGAGATGAGATCGAACACTATAAGGAAAACTAGTGGGAATCCGATAAATAACTTTGAACGACTTGTTTCTGTCAACTATATGACCGCTATCGATCAAGTGTGATAGAACCGAGCTGCGTATTGTTTTGACGTAACCTTTTCCTAACCACGAAGGGAGGTGTTCACCAACTCGTTGGTTCAGTTGCCTGGTAGTGCGCCCAATATAGCTTTCTCCATAGGAACAGCTGAATTCGTAGGCAGAGGTTGGCAGCATTAACCGTTCTCTTTACTGCTCTAGTCAATCTATCCCGTAATACATCGCTAGCTAAATCAGTGGATATCCACTGGGTTTCCTGAAGAAACACTTACGGGTACAAAACAAGAAAATAGTGACTCTGACGGCTAATAAGAAACCGCTTTTCTTGAGGCTGCAATTCAATGGTGATTTAGCTAGCGATGTATTACGGGATAGATTGACTAGAGCAGTAAAGAGAACGGTTAATGCTTCCAACCTCTGCCTATCTTATTCCACCCGATCGATGGTGATTCCGCAATTGAAGGATAAGTTACCTGGTTATGCCACTTCTATGTGTACCTACGAATTCAGCTGTTCCTGTGGAGAAAGCTATATTGGGCGCACTGCCAGGCAACTGAACGAACTAGTAGCACTAAACAACAATGCCAGGATGTTTGCGATGCACTTCTCCCCCTCTAAATGCAAGTTGTTGCTCCAGGACTGGCCTGCGTTAACACCTGAACTAAGGATTGAGAGGGAAGTAGTCGAACGTGTTGACAACTTCACTTATCTTGGAAGTCTAATCAGCCCAAATGGGTTGGTGTCTGACGAAATATCAGCACAGATTCGAAAAGCCAATCTGGCTTTTGTCGACTTACGTCACCTATTGCGAGGGCCAGATATCCGTCTATCAATTAAGAGGCGAGTATACTGCGCGGAAGTCCGTTCTGTTTTTACGGCTGCGAAACGTGGCCATTAAGAGTTGAAGATATTCACAAGCTACTAGTATTTGACCACAGATGCCTTATAAATATTGCTGGGATCACCGGGTAAGTGTTAGTGAAGTTAGACGCAGGGTACTAGGGAATGATGGTAAATCAGTTGATGAGGTTGTAAATCTTCATCGACTGAAATGGTTGGACCACCTGTTGCGTATGCCTGAATACCGATTACCACGACACGCTGTAAGAAAATTAAGAGCGGCCAAACCAAAGCGTGCCATCAGTGCTTGAAGTCACTAACTTCTAGTCTGAACCATGTTGGTAGATGCAGATCACTTGGTTGGGGTCTGCGTGACTGTCGTAACCAATGGTTGGAGACGGTGGGTGACATTGGCTCAGAATCGATCACAATGGCGTCGGTGTATACACTCTTTGTCTTCCCTTAAATTAAATTAAATTCGCTTCATATCTTTCTTTCTACAAACTAATTCTTTCTTCCTGTACTATATCCTTATATGCAATCTTTCTTTTTATGTATTACTATCATTGAAGTAACTAATTCTATGAGTCTGGTGTTCATCTTGTTGTGCTAATGAAGTGTCGCAACTTGGACCGATGCTTATATGTGCCTCGTTCTACGTTGTAGCTGACTGACTGAGTTATGTGCGTCGGCTCAAATTGTCACACCATATGAGTGTATTGAAATAAAGATATCAAGCCGAATCCCAGAGTAGTAGAAAAGGTTAAGTGAAGAAATAAGTCGTAAGATTTTGGGATTCAGGGACTTGGAGAAAATAAATAGTGAGTACATCTGTCATATTTTGTGAATTTTAATTCTACCCATTGATTGCGCGGACCCCAAGTAGGCAATCTGCACGTACCTAAGTGGTTCATGCCAATAGTCAATGACTTCATGAGCTGATGAACGTTGAGGTTTTGCCCCCTTCGCTTCCGTCCAGCCTATTTATACACCATCATGACCCGTCAACGTAGGCGGTGGCTGGGCTGACGTAACACAAGTTTCAACCACCTCGTTTGATAAAGATTTACTACCTCAACAACCGACTACCCACCTTTACCAAATACTCTGCGTCCAACCTGAGCAGCTCTTACTCGGTAGTCCCAAAATGCATGGGCAATGATTCAAAGACATCTATGGTGGAATACTAGTAACCTAGGTATGTCTACTCTTAGTGGCCATGCTTCACGCTCATAAAGTAGAACGGACTATCTTAAACTACCTGCTTGAGTGTTTAATCTTGTCACGATTGGTACTTCTGAACGTTCGGCGTTCTATAGTAGAGAAGAAATCTTCCTGTAAAACTTGTCCTTAACTTCACTCGAACTGCAGTCATTGAGAGCGCGGGCAGATACGACAATGAGACAACGGCGTGTGTCCCTATTTCTCCATGTTCTTACCTTCCTGTTTAATCTTTCATCTTCAGAGGCTATGTTTCACAGCCACAAGATGGAACAGAACGAACTGCTAAACAGTACACTCATCCTGAGATTGGCAGACAGAAATCTCGCCTACGCTATTGGTGGCACCAACACTTAGGTTATTCAATCGCAAATCAGCACATTAAGTAATACTTCTCAGCAACTTAACTGATTAGCCTCCTTTACAATGTAAATGTATGAATGCGATCAGTTTAAATACATGATTAGATAAACCCCAATGCTGACAAGAAATTTAATGCAAAGTTGATAAATGGTTCACTTACATGATAGGCTCCTAGCATACTCTTTAGTTGGTCGCAAACTTTACAGCTGACTATATGTTTAGTTAAAACAGCTATAGCCATACGAATCAGGTTAGTGCTTCATGAAAGTCTATTGTATTCCCAGGTAAGTCAGTGTTTTTAGTAATACTTAAAATGTAATGTACTCTGTCTCACGCGCGGTATGGAGTCTAAAATTGACCCAGCATTGATATTATGCTTCTTATCTGAGAGTTTTGAAGGGATTTCAGAACTAAGCAGGTCCACAAATAATTCGACAGATCAGGTTTTTAAGCTGAAATATTAACTCCTACCTCCAGAAACTTTCTACTAAAACTTATTTCGAGGAATAGAAATTATTATG